ATACAGGCTTGTTTACCATAAACACCCCACAGTCACATGAATTTATCTAGCAACACAATTAATAATGTATTAAAAGTACTACATTCACACAATATCACCTGCAACAGTTAAGCTGTCTCTTTGTACATCCGGTGCAAAACAAATCCCCACATGTAGTCATGGATAATCAAATATAGACCAAGAATCATTAATCTGGTCGACCGAGCAATGGTACAAAAACACTTCACCACGAAGCGCTATGTATGAATAGATATTCCAAACCAACACTGTAGTAGTGTAATAAATACAAATATCTCACCATCATCATCGTCCCAACCATCACCAACCCACGACCGAACACAGGCAACTTCCACCGACTGACACAAGGAACTGCCCCACAATACACACAAAACAGTCACTCCAAACAATGGAGGCAGCCCACACCGCACCCGCATTTACAGGGTCGCCACCCAACAACCCCCCCCTCCCATCAACGGCCGCTTCCCCAGCAATGAGACCAGATCGTAGTCACTTCAGTCTATTATCCTCAATAAACAAATACTTTATAATAACCAGATATGAAACCAGTTAGTATTGTAATAGTTCAATAGTTGATTCAATAAGCATTCTCCAAAACTGGACAATTAGAACATTGAATCAAACTGATGAGGCTCCATCAAACGACCATATAATTGGATTCTGTATATGAGTAGAATAACGTAAGTACGTAAATCATATTGATGTAAACTTTGTTCAAATGCGACTGCATTCAACGATATACGCATTACCCAAAGGCATCTGGACCCGACCAAATACGTATTTCAATAGTTGTTGGGAAAAATATTAAGTATAGACTTTGCCTGCGATCACAGTCAAAAATCTAACTACGTAGTAATAAATGGAACAAGCTCACCGGATTCTCCAGTCCTCCATTGATTAATTTCACACACTTAATCGATAGTGATACACTAAGATCTCAAACCCCTTCATCGAACCAGTCCCTCCCAGATCTATATCCTAGTTATTTTTTTATTTTATTGCGCCATCCCTAAAACACGACTCCCGCGCCATTTTTCTTTTTCTTTTTTTTTTTTTTTTTTTTGCGCAATTCCTAAAAAGCGACTCCCGCGCGCCCGCCGATCCGCCGTCTCTCCTTTTTTTTTTTTGCTTTCTATTCTTTCTCTAATGACGTCATAGATTATGTCACCGAAGGGTAGATACTTCAATAATCAGATTTAGCCTATTATTCGAACTGAACTTTTCTTCAAATTCAATTTAATTATATGTTAACGTATTTTGGTATTTTCTATTAATTTTATTATCGAATTTATAAAACTTTAAAGGCTCTCATAAACCTTATTAAACTGTGTTGTATGCATCCTTTTTAAACCTGATGATAAAAGGTAAACTATAATTTGGTTATATATAAAATATAATATATTTTTGTTTAATTTATTTAATTTTCTTGTGACATCTACTACACTTTGGAAACACATCAAAGGAGTTTCCCTTCTGTGTCAATATTTCATATATGGTAACGTCTTCTCTGTATACTATTGTGAACCTTGACTTTAAAGTTTGTTTATATTAAATAGCTCAGCTTTCGCAGCGGTCACCCATAGGAACCCCTGTTTCTTTCATGTACTTATGGTATTAAACCTATTGTACTATAGGCGAACCGTCACAAGATTTAGTAACAAAACATCTTTACGAACTTTTACAATTATTTTATTAGTAGGGTTTTATATTATTATTATTTCAGCCGTTCACTATCCATTGCTGAACATAAGGCTTCCCCATAAGGAGTTTTGTCAGTAGTCGCCACACTTGTCGGGCGGATTGGTAGTTGGTAGGGCTAGTAGAGTTTACTTGTATAAAAAAACATTAATATTTTTCTAAGACATTTTTTTGTTACTTAATTACTTTAACGGCTGGCTAATTTAATTAGAATTTGATACATAAATAGTAATATAAATAAACATGCAGAGGGAATCAGCGGATGCAGGTGGCTGAGGACCGTTCCTTATGGCAGTTTATAGAGGATGCCTATGATATGGGTCACCCCTTCCTTTCCTGTGGGTGTCGTAAGAGGCGACTAAGGAAAGACGAGGAATGGGCAGCAGTGTCAATCTTAAAACATCTCTAAAAGCCTAATTGCGGTTGCCAACCCGCCTGCCAAGCATGGCAACTATTGGTAAAACTCCCCTTATGGGGATTATATTATTTATATTATAAATGTGAAGACTATATTAGTGTATTTTTTCCTTATATCATACACAAGTGTGTATTTATGTAAATTATTTACACATATAAACATCATTTTTAATAAACGAAAATATTCAGACCTGCTTGTGAATATTAAACTCGAAGTATATTTCCCATAAACACTAAAAAAACAACATTTTGGCAGTATATATCTGGCATAATACTTGAACTCCGCAATTCCTCTCGGATGCGCCTGTTACGTGTCCGTATTTTATGTATATCATCCGCATTTTTACGGAACTGGAATATTTGAATATCTATGATTTACAGTAGCTGAATATTGTACAAACATCGTGAAATAAATTGTGAAATGTGCTGCAATGGTATTCAACTTGTATCTACTATATTTCATTAGCAACTATGTATGTTTTTAATGTTTTATGTTCAGTCTAAAAGGCTGGTTATTGAATTTAATTTTTATTTATGTTTTTATGCTGTAAAGTACATTCAGAATTTATGGTAAGTTCAGTCTTCTATCTGATAAAAGGTGAAACGATTGGAGTACTGAAGCAGTTTTCCTCTAGGAAAGACACAATTTTTTTTTTAATATATATACTTTACATTATTGTGTCCACAGAGTCTGCCGTTTCTGTCCTCTTGGGTTTTAAACTTCGATCTACTGTGATCCTACTGTAAATTAACCAATTATCTTTTTTTTTATTATTCCTCTTCAAGGGAAAGACTTCATTTTGAATATAATTTAATTATATTTAGAAATTATTATATTTTTAAAATAGTATTTTACCTTGTAAAAAAATCTGATTAAACTATAAATATTTAGTTAAAAAACATAAAGAATTGATAATAATAATAAGGTTGCTTGTGTGATTTACGGATAAAAAATACGGGCGAAATGGCAATCTCATTGAATTAGATTATAGTGCAAGCAGCAATTTTTAATTTCGTAAAAACACAGTACAGCGTTATAGTACTAGCTTCCTCCATTAGACAGCATTTAACGTCGAATAGCTCAAATGATGATCAGTACCTTACCGTCCGACTCAATCCGGTGAAACTGTGTTGAGACGTTGCATCTCTATGCATCTTTTATCGAATGTATCATGGGAGATATTCTGAGAAATAGTTCGGATTGATACCAGCTACTAAATTTCACCATTACAACTCGCCATAAATAAAAGTCTCATCCCAACCATCTAAATGAGTGGCAGTCGTCCACCGTGCGTTTTCAAAGCATTTTCTTCTACGCACAACTTTGGAATCAACTATCAGCAGTGAATTTTCGAATCGATACGATATCGTAAGTTTTAAGAAAATACTTCTTGTTAAAAGACCGGCAATGCACCTGAAAATTTATCCGGTGTTACGGGTACACATGGACGGCGGTATTCACTTAATATCAAGTGAGCTATATGCTCCATTGCTGCCTGTTTAAAAAAAAAAAACTATCGAAAATACTTATTTTATACCTACTTAGGTACAAAAAGAACCTATTTTTATTTGCTTCGCCTCTAGCTCTGCTTTGACTGCAGAGCCAACACTTTCAAACCAAAGGACCTAAATGTAATAATCTACATGTCCAAATTTACGATTTTTACAAGAGTTTTAGAAATTTCTGCCGCTATATCGCTTCGAAATACTTGTTCACCCAAAAGCTCATACGGTCTAAGTAAACACGTAAAAGTCCTTTCAGACACATTTCTAATGCGCTGTGACTTTGGCAATCTTCCAAATTGTTTCAAAAGAATAAATACTCTAAAATGCAATTAGAGTACCCTAGTGAGTTGTTTTATTGTGATTATAGATTCAGCCAAATTGATTATATATAAGTACAATATTTTTTTAAAGTTCAAATTAATTCTTGGGATGTAATAATTGATGTAAGAGAGAAATTTTGCTTAGTGACTTATAATGATTGAAATTTCATTGAATTCGCTCGAATATTGTTCTGCTCTGTTATTTATCTATGTATATCATATTTCCTTTTTCTTGTCTTTTGTTAATGTTATATGCCAAATTCCCTATATACACCAAATATATGTATAATAATTTTAAACATTGAAATTTTGACAAAAGGCCTGCGCCACATAAAAATTCTACGAATACTTTTTTATTTTACTCTTAAGTAATTGTATAATTTATTTTCCAGTTCTGTGAATATGCGAATAATAGCAGTGCTAAAATCGAAATAATATACTATAAAAGTAAAAAAAAAATATCTACTATGAGTGTTCAAGTGAATGATAAAGATATACATATAAATAGACAGATGTTCTTTAATGTTTTCTCCAAAAGATTACAGTAGTAAAAACAAACAATATTCGATAAATATTTAATACAATAATTACAAGAAATGATCTCGCTTACACATATTATCTACATATTTACCGAAATGTTAAATAACTTTTCTTGAGCCTACTATCTACCATTGTCCTAATAGGAACATCGGGGGAAAGGGAAAAGTAGGAAGGAAAATACTTACTTACAGAGGGAAAAGAAATTGTTAGTTAATGATTCTAACAATCCCATTGCTAGTAATATTCCTTATCAGGTCGACCTCCACGTGGTTCCCCCTGGAAACCATCGTGGTTAATTCTTGTTGAATTCTTCACGATGGTCCGACTAACCTGCCTTTATCTTCACCTGTCATCTATCACTGGTGCCCCGCCAACATATACCGATAATGCAGGCGAGGTTACCATTCTATTATCACCCATTAAAAAAAATAGGAACGCCATGTATAAGGTTAAGTATATCTCTTTTCTGTTATTGTTCCTAACATTTTTTTTCTTTTTCAGGCGGAGCTGGTGGCTGTTGAAGGAAAAGAGATAGAAACACATTACGTCCTCGCTAGAGAGAGGATCCGGCGTTGGAACTCAACATCCAAATGTTACCTCTTAGTTGAGAATTTGCCTACACCATTGCAGGTAATTAATTACACGGTGTCGAAAATCTTATTAGGAATATTTCTTGCTATATATGTAAATGATAAATCAAATATCTACTTAATTTAAATAATTTCCAAGTGATAACCAATTTTTTTCGAAAGAGTTAATTAGATAAAAAGTAATTAAAAAAATGCAATGAATTTGAAAATCTTCTCCGAATTAAAATCGGTTAATAATTTTGTTCTCGCGCTGTTTTTTAACATACGGTTTTACACAAAAGTGTCAACAGCATAAGAGTACAAAATTTTAACTTTCAAAATTCTACTAGCTATTTTAGTTAATTAAATGTTTTGAGTCTAAAAAAAAATTTAAAAAATTAAACTGCCTGATTATGGTTCGTAGAAAGAGAAGGTGGGTACCTGTTTACTCATTCGTTCGATCATATTATAGATTACAGAACTATACTTAATCTATTGATACTTATTTATTTAGTTTTAGGAAAACATACAGCTTCACTCAATCAATACATAGTTAAATCATATCCATATTGAGCCATAAATAGTTTTCACATTTGCAATCTTAAAAATAAATAAATAAATTAAATTAATATGATCTTAAAAAATACAGATACATAAAATATATTGAAAAAAAAAAAAATAGCATTACAATTTGTAAGGAAAACAGGCAACAATGGTTGGCATTATTGCTAAATAGCGATATGTTCCAGGCAACTTGTATGTATAAGTATTCCTATAGTCTTATTTAAGGAAGTTAGAGATATGTTATTTCAGTATAGGAACAGCCAATTGACTATTTTTTTATTTAAAAATGTGGCAATTGTCGAACAAATACGAAAAAAAAATAAACATACTTATTTGTATTGAATCACGACAATGGGACATATTCCGTTGACGTATAGGCCTCTAAGGCCAATATTTCTAATTTTGCCGACACAAAAAATTTTGTGACGTATTATTATTTATACTAAAAATTGATGTTATAACAGGCTGGTGGCATAGCTAGCGCAAGTGTATGGTCATCGTGTGGCTGCCGACAGCGCCTCCTGGCGGCAGTTACGAGTGGGGGCCGAGCTGTGCATTGGGCCGCAGTACCAGCACCAAGCCCAGCTAATGATACTGACTTATGCCGCTTCAATTATACGTGAGTACAGTGGAATTTGTTTTATCTGTACCTTCCTAGAAAATGGTTATTTTCTTTATCTCAAAATCTTTACTTAAATTTAAAACAACGACAGATATTTTCTTGTGAAAATCCATTTTTTTTTTATTTTTGTAAAAGGAACGCAATATATTCCAATGATATTAAACTCAGTGTTATTAAATTTATTGTAAATGCGCACCAAAACGACCACTCGATTTATAGACATCGACAATTTGTTTTAATTCGAAATTCAAAATTTTGAATTATAAAAACAAAAACTGTACGCGGGTTTATATTGTCCATAAATACTTCATAAAAAAGTAAATTAAATGCAAACGAGAAAAGTAATGTTTAAGAATATAGATAGGTAATTTATTGAGTGCAAAGTACTCTTTATTTATATTTTTTTACATTTTTTGTCATCATTGTAAAATAGGTAGTTTGGTCCTGCTTAATCTGTGTTACAAAACTTTACTAATAAAAACAAAAGTAATCAAGGCGAAACTAAAATAAACACACATAAAACATCAGTTTATCCAACTCTCCACAACTCGTTCTGTGACGATAATTATTGTACACCAGTACAATGTCTATATTACTTTATTACAGGACTGTTTCGCCTTTTAACAGAGGTCACTGACCTCTGTTGAATCTCACTGAACTCCAATTCCATATTTTGTTTATAACTGTCTAGGGTATATATAAAAATAGGGTATATTTATATAATCTTAATAGACATTACAGATTATATTTTAATTTAATTTAAATAACTTTATTTGCCAAAATAAAATAAGGTACAAAAGGCGGATTTAATGCTAGTAGCATTCTCTACCAGTCCACCTATGCGATGAATAGTGAATCACGAACGCGATATTTCGTTATTGGGTTAGGTAAAGAAAATAACAACTACTAATGTATACCTATACAAAATAAATAATACATACATAAATATAAAGGAATATGCATATATATTATACAACTAAATAGACCATTTTAAGCATTATAGAAAAAATCATGTTAGTACAGGGTACTCTAAATTCATTGTAATTTTTCGACTCATTGGAAAATATTTAATTCCCATTTTACACAATTTTTATTTTAGCCTATTATTTATTGATATACGTTACGTATAACGTAAACTAAACAAATAGTTACACTATTTGTTTAGTTTGGATCAAATGTTAGCTATTAGTTGTAGTTACATTTTACATTTAATAAAAAGTTTATTTAGTTCTCAAATATGTTGGGTTACATTATTGTTTTTAGATTTTAATTATCCATCATTGAATATTCAGGCTAATTATCGGATGTCGGCAAAGTTCATGATTGTATACGAGAAAGTTTGGTATTTAAGCAACTTTGGTGGGGCTATCCTTTTTTTTTTATGTCAGCAAAACTTTTCAGAGTCTCCTCTCCTCACCCTGTTTGTGTTGGTTTCGATTGATTGCTCTCGTCTGTTTTTATGGGTACTTTCTCTTTTAGGTTGGGAAGTACGTTTATAAAAGAGCTTCGTATTTCTCATGGCTTCCTGGTAGGTGATATTATATAGTTGTGTGTTTTGTTAAATTTTTAACCATGCCTCCATGTTTTACTCTGGGCACGCATCTCTTCCCATAAAAGGAAGCCATTACGGATAGTTTTCTTCCCAGCCATAGGTTTATTTATATATTATGCGGGGCGTGAAAAAATATATTTGCAGGCTGTCACCCCGACAGTTTGACAACTACAGTATAAATTTCTGCAATTACAACCCTCATATTTGGACCGTAGTACCTGCTTACCATCAGGTGGATTATAGTCATTATGACTAGTAGATATGTGTAATATCCAATATCCAGATATTGAGTTCTTCTATTTATTGCGAAACAGTATATAGTTATATTCTGTTATGTCCATGACACTGCTCATGTCTATAGGCGACGGTTACCACTTTCCATCAGGTGAGCTGTCAGCTTGTTTGCCATTCTAAGTTGTATAAAATAAATATCTGTTGCGATATCGCCAACACCAGTCAGATATCTGTATTAATTATGAGCAAGTTCTTCTTTATGATTTTATATATTGGGTAATCGATAGTTAATATATCTGTTATTGAGTCAATATATGTATAGATATTGTAACTATCATATATAGATATTTCTATATATTACCCACACTTAATGTCTAGCTTTTATAAAAAAGTACCGGTCCGGACCGATTTGTTGTGTCAGTCGATCAACTTATGTTTATAGACAATTATTGGACCCTTTTAATAATAACATTTTATGTATCAAGTCTACGTATCAAAACGTATCTCGTAGATCTACCAATATTTTTTTACAACGATCCTCTATATAAGTGGGTGATTACGAACGATTACGACGTAAACTGGACTGCTACCAATAAATGTTTCTGAATAATAAAATATTTATAAAGCAAACTCGTATTTTAATGTCAGCAAAAATCATCCATTAACTTTCCACGATTCGTCACTGCTACCCAGATATCTGAGATTACGTTTGTTGTTTTTTTTAATTTCCTCTAAAAGCTGTTTTAATGTCCGCCTAAGAACTGCCGTCGAGCCGAACGTTTACCAACAACGATTCACTGTGTTAAAATTTTATCTGCAAAACACAGCCTCTGTGTCTGAAACAAAGTTCTGTGTTTTGTAATTGGAAAAAAAACCATAAAAACGTCGGCGAACACTGTGAAGTTTATTCCTTGTGATTTATATGCATTTTGTGAAACGTCCGAAGTAGGTCCTTAAATTTTGACCCATTTCGTTGAAGTTGTCGAGTGCTATTGCTGAATAAACTTTTTATTGTCACTCCGCTTTACTTTGTGAAATTAATATCCAACTCGGCTGCAGTCGTTTATTTATTTTCCATTGTTCACAGCTGTTTTTAAAGAAAAGGATTAAAATAATAGGTAATATTGATGATAAGCGGTATCCTGCGACTTTGCACGAGTAAATTAGTATGTAATTTATGTTTGTGTCTGTGTATCTACCAAAAAACAACTAATCAAAAAACAATAAAATGCCCTTTTGAAGTCGGTTTATAAACTCGAGTGTGCACATTTTGAATCGGGAAAAATGTGTTTCAGTTCAGTGAACCGACATGAAATATAAACATACGAATAAATGAATAAAAAATACCGTTCAGTGTATCTATGTCGGGGTAAAAACAGGAGTACGATGGTTTTGACGAATGGGCCTCACGGGTCACGCCGGCAACCCGCCTATTCTGTTTGTTATACTTTTTATTTATATTTCAATTCTATTAATCTTACTATTATTATAAATGTAAAAGTTTGTAAAGATATTGGATTCATTATTATTATTCCAACCGTTAACAGTCCACTGGTGAACATAAGTCTTTCCCATAAGGGAACCGCAATTAGGCTTTGGAGATGTTTGAAGAGGGACGCTGCTGCCCATCCCTCCCGCTCCCTTAGTCGACTCTTACGACAGTCACAGTATAGAAAGGGATGGCCTATTCTATGCCGGGACCACACGGCGATTGTATGTTTATTACGTATTCATTTTTAATGGCTGAACGCATTTAAAAGAAATTTGGCGCACGGATGGATTAAGGTGTTACGTTACGTTACCCTACATTTTGTATTTTTGTACATTAAAATTGTATTTAATAAACATTTAAAAAATAATTATGCTTATGACTATAAAGTTTTATAAGATAAACACAAGACAGATATTTGATCAAATGAAGGAAGGTAAAACCGTATCAAATTATGATTTTTTTTGTCATTAAAATTAATTAAAATAAATAATTTTCTATATTTTTGTAAAATATGATTAATTAAATCTAAATATGTCGTGTGATTCCGGCATAGAATAAACCATTCCTTACTTTTCCCTGGATGTCATAAGAGGCCACTATTGGAACTGAATGGTCGAGGAATGTACAGCAGCGTCCCTTTTAAAAAATCACCAAAGCCTGCGGTTGTGTACCCGCCTGCCAAGCCTGGCAACTACTAGCAAAACACCCCTTAAAGGCGAAGGTCATCAGTGGACAGTTAACGGCTGATATAATAATAATAAAAAAACTAGTTTGCTATCAGAGTACTTTGTAAATCAATTAGTTATATTAAAAATTGTTTGTTTTTAAAAATGTCAAATTTAGACGTTACTATTTGGTATAAAGTTCATAAACAAGACTATCATAAACTGAAATGTAGCAATCAATGTCATGTTACCATACTACAAAATGCATAGATATATTTACTGTTTATATATGCATATGTAGAGATATGTCATTTGAATACACAGCATGACGTCCATGTACCATTTAATGAGTTACAGTCTCCAGTAGTATGTCCACAACTCGAAACTTCGTAGGAAAATCCTCTTTTATAGTGTAATATATAAAATTGCATGAATTCATCATAATTACCGTAATATTATGACCACTAAATAAAGTACGAGCAGGTAACATTTTATTAATAATACTGGTAGTAGAAAAATATGTAGTTGGCGCTTGTACTATTGAAATCAGCTTGTAATATTCTTTTATACAAATGATAATCACATTTTTCTGTCATATCCAATTAGGATACAAACTCCAGCATCACAAAACTAGTGTGATTATGTAGTATTTGTATTTTTCAATTCCTATGATTCAACAAATAGTAAGTAAATCAATTTGATTTATATAAACGAGAATTAATATTATCATTTAGGTAAATGCATCGAATTAAGACACGGTCAGTGTTGTGTGCAGAAATCCTCAGTATAGGAACACAATTTATGTGATGTGGGACAATAATTGGGTAGATGAAAAAATTTCTGTCTCGAAAGCGGAGGTACGATAGCGCTACATCTATTCGTGACCACAGCCGATGCAATTTAATCAAAATGTCGATAATTCAACTAAATTACTATAGTTTACCTAAGTGATCGCATTAATTCTCGTCCTTTATAACGATAAACCGTGCAATATAAAAGTCAAACCTATTTGTACTATTATACTGTTTTGACACTTTCTTTCAAATTTGGAGTTTAACACGAAAGAAAAAGACAAAACAGTTTAGTAGTTAAAATGGATTTATGAAAACCTTGACGTTTTTATAAAAAAGGAGGTTAAATTAAATATTTATTTATTTATAATAATGCATTCATGAACATAATATAGAGTTGTACAATTGTAAACATATTGTACAATATTCATTTGAAGAGTAAGTACATGAATCCTGCTTGGGTAAAACAAAATTTAGTCGATAGGTAGCTAATATATATGCATTTATGTCAAATTAGATATTAAATTATTTTTAATTATTTTACAAATAATTCCTCGTAAATATGTCCCAAATTGGTCGTCGTAAATGTTGGTCACTGTTAATCTATACAGTACTCGTGATAAAGGCCGGAAAGTTCACAATTGGATTAAATGTAACAACACGATATTGGAGTACCGAACAACCCTTTGATATTTTCATGCGCTATTCACTTCTGGATAGGAATTTGACAGATTGTCGATATCGTTTTTATACGCCTCGTATGACGTTGTTGGTGCCATTGTTTGTAATTCTCTTTTTTTATATTGCACAGTAGCGATCAATAGGTAAACTGCTAGCCTGAAAATTATTATTATAACCCTATGATAGAGCTAAAACATAGACTGATGCCTAAAGTCCAATCTACGATGAATACGATGAAATGAATAGTAGATATTGAAATGGGCATTTTTTTCGTTTTTTATATGAAAAGGAAAAATTGACTATTTTGAAATGCTTCCAAATACACATTTGCTATATAACACAATTGATATAATTGTGAATTTAGTTATATTGATTCATTTTTTTAAGCAACTATTAATTAAAATTTGTATCCCACAAAAAAATTTACTTTAATTGTGACAAAGCCAGTTATTTTGGTCTTAAAATTAACTACTAAACCCATTTTTATAAAATTTGTATGACGACGAATCTGTAAGTATATGATGGTTTGAAGGGATATGGCGTGAATTTACAGGGTACAGAGGAATAACACCTGAGTCCTCAGGAATGGCAACGCATGGGAGGAATCATAGTAATGGAATCATGGCAACAGTATACTCTGTTATGTCCATGGTACTGCTCATGTCTATAGGCGACAGTTACCACTTTTCATCAGGTGGGCTGTCAGCTTGTTTGCCATTCTAAGTTGTATAAAAAAAAAAGATAAGAAGAATTTTTCAAATCGGTTTGGAACTGGCAGGGTTATGACGTAACAAACAAAAGAAAAACCGAATTGAGGAGCTTCTTGTTTTTGAAATGTGTTGAAAATGAGGTTCTCAATATGCTCAATTTTTTTAACGTACGCACAAAATACTGAAATGATTTTGATAATTTTTTTCGTAATCAAAGAATTTATACTAGTGTTGGTCATATTTTTTTTTATGAATGATATCAGAATGGTAACCCCGCCTACACTATCTGTATACACTGGCGGGGCACCAGTGAGAGATGATAGGTGAGAATGAAAAAGCAGGTCAATTAGCCTATCGTGACGATGCGACAGCACGACAGCACGATGGTTTCCAGGGGGAACCACGTGGAGGTTGACCTTTTTGGACATATTGCTAACAATGAGACTGATAGTGCGCATTATTAACAACCCCCCTCCCCTGGTCATATATTAATTTAGTCATTTTGTTTGTCAATTAATATGGCTTTCTTTTGCGGAATAAGCTAGTTTTTATTTAATAAGGAATGTGATAGGAAAAATATCTTTAATATATATATTAAAGATATTTTTAATATATTTTTGTATAAAATAAAAATAAAATTGTTAACTTATTATAATATATAGATATGAATAGAGAATCAAATAATACCAAACTCTATAATTATACTGTGAAAACGAATTTTTCGACAAACGAAAAAATAAATTTTACTATTAATTAAAACACAGTTTTCCATAAATTGAAAGAAACAATATTATAGCTCTATTTTCCTACCTTAAATACGTTATATCATGAACTTTACCAAAAGACGGGCATCCACTACATTTCCTATTTACGGTTAATTTTAATTAAAATCTCATTTATTTTTCCATTCAACGGAAAAGCTTTCACCATTTATATTAATTCAACGCTGTAATAATTACTATCTGACGTAATCACCTTTTATAGGAGTGTACATTATTTGTAAAGATTTAATGATGCCTTTGTTGTTAAGAAAAAGTGTTAGTTTACACAAACTACAATGCACATAAATTGTTTTCAATAATCTATATTCAATAGTCTACAAACTTTGCTTTCTTTTGTTTCAAACGAAATAAACCCGATCAAATACAAAGAGTAATTTTAAACTTTATTTAAAATTCGAAAAAACATTACGTAACAAAAAAAATTATTAATTGAATACCGCCTATTTCTTGTTCATTTTTTGTTTTCAAAGGGAGTAAACCCAATCTAATGCTAAAATAGTTATCAAAGTGAATTTAGAATAATATATTAATAATATATATCGCGTAATATGCAAAAAATAAGCGACTCGGAAAAAGAGAAGACCGACAGTCTCCTTTTTTTACGAGTCACTTGAAAATATTGAGCAAACTATATCAAAAACTTAAAACGCACATAGTAAAGGCAACTAAAATGTACGAAAGTGTCTCACTGATGCAATAAATGGGTCCCAGCGCAACTATTTGGGCACAGAAAAATTTCTGGCGTCCCACACTACTCCTCGGTGACCCATAGCCAAACGACGTATGGTCTGGGAACTTGACCAATCACCGAAATATTTAAACTACAAAACTAAAAAGAGTGAGTTTTGGAAATAAAATTACTCGGTAGGCATAAAGCTATAATCCTCAAGAATGGTAATGCCTGAAGAATATAATAGGCGGCACAGTATACTGTTATGTTCTATGCTGTTCGTGTCTATATGTGATGAATACTACTTTTCATCAGGTGAGCCGTCAATTTGTTGCCTACAGTAGTTATATAGTCAGGTAATTTGTTCTATATAATTGGACCCATCACATGAGTTAATCTATCAGACTTGCATTTATTACTTGCAATTATCAGAGTATCTTTGTTGCTTTTAAAAAATATGTTAGTACAAATAATATTTAAAGATTGTGTCCCACAAAAAAAGTGACATCGATTATGACAAAACCACATATTTAGGTCTAAAAATTACACTACAGAAGCAATTTTTATTAATATGGGGCTGGTTTGTATGTATTTTTAGATTAAAAAAGAATTTTTCAAATCGGTTTATTACTGACGGAGTTATAAGGTAACAAAAATAAAACCTTAATTCGGTTTTTTTCTCTTTGAAACCTATTTGTTGTATGCATACTGTATACAGTTAGTATATTATTTATTTATTTATTCTTTATTGCACAATAAAACAATTGATGCTCCTTTCCACTTTGGGTTTGCTGGAAGAAAACTCTATCAGAGTTAAGCTCGCCTTTGTACTTTTGTTTACCTCTGTCATATTTTTATAACTAATGTGTACAATAAAGTATTAAATAAATAAATAAATAAATAAAACTTTGTACAAGTGGCGAGCTTAATGCCATATGGCATTCTCTACCAGCTAACCTTTAAGTAAAGACAGAAAGTTTTTACTTAATGGTTAATATAAATAATAATTTATATTATTGCAATTATTTTGCAGGTTTCCAGTGACAGCAGATATGGCACCAGTCAGTTCTCTTCTCGTTTACTACGTGACAGAGGCAGGAGAGCCTGTGAGCGACGTCGCCAGTTTCCACGTCCGATTACTGCATAAAGAAGTAAGTGTTTGTTATATTTGTCAAACTAACTTTTACATATGTTTCTTATATTATAAAGTATATAGAATGGTAATGTAAAAGAGACGAAACATATATGTTAAAACGAGATAGAAAAGCAGGACATTAATATACACAATAAATGTTTGAAGCTGATTTGGATACACCCGTGTATTAACAAAATAAATTCTATATTATTATTATTTTTTTTTTAATTTTGAAGTGTAATTTATTTTAAGTAAATATAATTGGCTAGAGTTGAACGTGCTGTAACAAAATATTCCATAAATCAAGAAAATAAATCACAAAATTGCACATTTTTTACATACGCCAATAAACGATGAGATGTCTCTTTAATATTTAGATACAGGTCATCATCGGCATCATCATATCAGGTTTTAATTGTCCACTGCTGAACATGAGCTTACCCTTAAGAGGATATTGCCAGTAGTTGCCAACTTTGACAGGTAGATTGGCAACCGCAGTTAGGGTTTGGAGATGTTTCAAGTAGGACGCTGTTACCCATCCCTCGCCCTCCCTTAGTCATTTCTTACGACACCCACGGGAAACAAAGAGGTGACCTATTCTATACCAGGACCACACAGGACAAATATATAGATAATATAAACCAAAAATGCTTCCGTCCTCCTGTACGCTTAGACCTTTTAAACTACATAACAAATATTAAAGCAAATTTCATCAATAGATAGAATAATTCAAAAGGAAGGTTTATACGTATAATTTAATATTGTTTTATATAAATTGAAACATGACAATAATTGTTCAAGACGTTGGAAGTAAATCAAGTCGATTGAGAGCTTTCATCGAAAATTCTAAAATATAACAAAATAATTTATGATAAAATTGTGTATCTCTTTATTAGGACAACAGAAAAGTAAGCAAGTGCATTTTATACAGATAGCTTCCTAACAGTTCCTAACAGTTTAATGTTTAAAAAAATTATATAGATTATGTGGAGTGTGTATGTATTTAGATGGATACAATACGAGTAGTAATATTATTAATAACTGCGCACTAACACCGCATTGTGTTTACATTGCACGCGTGCGAAACCAGGGCGGGACACTAGTTTTAATATAAAACGCGTAATCGTGTGTTTATGGGCTTTACTCCATAACACGCAAATTTTTCCTACACAAAGATAAATGGTAGCTTCAATAGTGACAAAATTAATGAGGAAAAAATAATTGCTGTTTTCTCCCTCTAACACTCAGATTATGGAATGAGCTCCCTGCTGAGGTTTTCCCAAGAGACTACAGCATGGGGTTCTTCAAAAGGGGGGTAAAGAGGTTCCTACAGGGTCAATAATATGCGCATAAGACCCTTAATATTGCAGGCGTTCATAGGCTATGGTAACCGCTTACCATCAGGTGGACCGTATGCTTATTTGCCATCAAAAAATTTTGCAAAAAAAAAATTGTAAAAATCTGTTTAGGAACAATGACGTAATTTGACGACATATTTACGTCATAATCATCATATCAGCCATTAATTATCCACTGTTAAACATAACCCTCCCCCTATTAAGGGGGTTTTACCAGTAGTTTGGCACACTTGGCAGGCAGGTTAGCAACCACAGTTAAGCTTTGGTGATATTTTAAGAGGGACGCTGCTACCGCGAATGCTATCTGCTTGACGATTCAATTCTCTCACACGCCTCTTACAACACTCACGGGAAAATCGTGGCCCATTCTATGCCGGGGCCGCACAGCGTAATTACGTAGTAGTCGTTATTTATCCCGGCCAATCAATATATCCCTATAACTTCGTGCGTAATCTCGAATAAATATTAGTATAATAATAAACCTTATAAATATTAACCAGTAACTATAAAATTTTGGTATACAGTTACTATATGGGATGAAGATGTATATAGGTTCCTTTTATATCCCAGTCAAGAAATACACCCGAGTACGCAGACGAAGTCGCGGGTAAAAGCTAGTTGTTATAACAAAGAGACGTTATAACATTGTAAGCTATATATTAAATGAACATATAATTTTATAGCAACACGGATAACTCGACAGATTACAATGTCCCTTGAAAGTTGCATCCTAACCCCTTATTTAACAGTCTGATGAGTCAGCTGGCGTGAAATTGAAATAGCGTTTACAGAGTTTAATTACTACGTCGTTGTGTTATAACTTATGTTATGGCTAAGTATACATTTCGTATACATTTGTGCACAGCCGTTCGTTTGACCTCTTTTCAACTAATTCTCACCCTCAATCCTGTTATTATTATAAACGCTAAAATTTATAAGTATGTATGAATAGATGATTGTTACTTTTTTAAGAAAAAAAAAAACTACTGAATATTTTTAAATGAAAGATACATGGACAAATATTATACTAATTTGGCAAATAGGATTATTAATATTGATTTACGGGTGATAATACGGAATACCACATACCATTCCACATCAACTGTTGACTGTCCACTGCTGAACATAGGCCTCTTCTTATTAAAGGATTTTGTAAGTAGTTGGCACGCTTGACTGGCTTATTGGCAACCTCGGAGTGGTCCCGGAACCGGAACCGGTAGAACGGACCACCCCTTTTTCTACCGCGGGTGTCATAAGAAGCATTAGTTGCTTCTTATAATTTCCTCATCGAGGGATAGGCAGCAGTGTCCTTGTCAAAATATCTACAAGATTAACTGCCGTTGCCAACTCGTTTGCTAATCGTGGCAACTACTGGATTTGACAAAATGGATATGACATATTATATATTCAGTAGTAAACAGTTAACGCCTGATATGATGATGGTACGTAATACTAACCAAGGGGGAGAAAGGAATTGTTAGTAATGGAGACTGAGAATCCTATTGCTAGCAATATACCCAACCAGGTCTACCTCCTCGCGGTTCTTCCTGAAAACTATCATGGTTAATTCCTGATGAATTCATCATGGTGGACTAACTTGCCTGTTTTCATTCTCATCTATCGCCCTTCAGTGGTGCTCCGCCAGCGTATCCCGTTAGCAGAGTCACGGGTTACCATACCATTTTCACCCATAAAAAAAAATACTAACCAAGTAGAAAAACATAGCTAACTAAATATAAACTATATTTATCTCCTTGGTTTGTATTCCTTTGTTTTAGTCCGCAGTGAAAACTTGCTGTTGATCGTAATTTGAAGCTTTTTAGGGGATTTTTCGTACATTAAAGATATCTCGCGACATAATCTGGTTGGCAATAACGTTGGGTTTAATCAACGTGCCCTTTAATGAAAGGCAATTCGTTGACGGTTAAGGGGTGCAATTAAGACCGCCTGTAATTCCGGCGATTCTGTCCGAAATCGGTTGAACGGGCTTGTTTTATACCAATTCAGACGTAGATCGAAAGCAACAGAAGCTAATTTTGTAAATTTCTATGTGGAGACAAGGGATACTAATCGTTTTTCACTAAACAATGTAATTATCAGCTATTAACAGTAACAATAATTATTATACAAGTTCAAAACGAAATCAGTTTGAGATGGTTGGTCCCTAAACAAAATTAAACACGAAATTGTAGATGGCGCTAGAATCAAGACTGGGAGTTTTTGTTGATTATTTCGTAATTAAAGATAATTCTTAAATCAAAATTTCTATATTAGTGTGTGTGTACAAATGTTAAGTGACAGATAATACGCGATTTTCTCTGAATGAATTATGACCCACACAACCATAATATTTCTTGCGAGTATATATTTTTTTACAAAATTGCACAGTAAAAGAGATTAATGACAAAAAATATTACAAATTATTACTATATTGATAAAAAATGAAGCCAACTATTCGCCAATTTAGAAATTTTGCTTCAAATTATCTTTAATTACAAAATAATCAAGAAAAACCACAAGTCTCGATTTCAGCGCCATCTAGTATTTCGTGTCCGAATTTGATTAATGACCATCTTAAGATTGAATTGTAGTCTATTTCAATAGAACATAATAAAGAGTATAAACAAATGATGTGTAAGAGGCAGGAATTAATATGATCATTTAGATAAACTATGATAATTTGCCTGAGTTTCATGGAAGCGGCCATCAACCATTGGATCGAGTGTCGAGCACAAATCCATTCCATGAAACGAATTTTCTATTCATGAATAGTACGTGAAGCGATTTAAATCCAGTAATTTGAAACATTCAATCGAGAAAACGATTTCAAACTTTCCACGATCCGGAACCCGGTAATACAAAAAACATTACCTCACTACAGTGTGTAGTCGGTAAATGCATTGAATAAAGACATAATCACTATTATGTGAAGAAACTCTCAGTATAGGAACACAATTTGTGTGGTGTGAGATAAAGAGTGGGTAAAATAAAAAGTTTCTATCTCGCAAACAGAGATATGACAGCACTACGTCAGTCTACTCGTGACCACAGTCGGTGTAACATGGTTGAAACGTCAAGATAATACAAGTAAATTATCATAGTTTACCTAATTGATCGCACGAATTCCCATTGTTTACTTAACAATTAAGTATTGAGACAGACTAGTAAGTACTTGAAAGTCTAAAAAGTAATATAAACAAATGAAATATCGACAAAAATACTGTCGCTTTATGCCCAATCGTAGTACAAATTAATTAGGAATGCTTCAATCTGTTCATAATTTCTTTTGTTTTTACAATTATGATAATTTCAACAAAACTTGGTTATCTTTACATTGAATTCTATTGGAATAGACTATAAAAGTGAAATTAAATATTTTTCAAAACATGAAACAGAAAACTGGAATAATATGAAAAAGAGATATAACAACAGATAATCATAATCCTTAAGCATCAGTGTTCTTCGTTTGAAGTTTTCATACTTATAAAGTGCATTATTTTTTTTCATATAATATCAAATATTTTCGGGGAAAAAGAAAATATTTGTAATGTTTAAAAATATTATATATCACAAATGTCGAGAATCTTTCATTTCTTGGGAAGGATAAGGGAGATAAAAATAAAAGTATAGCGGTATTGAGTGTAGGAAAGTATAATGCGATCATGAAAGAGTGATTTAAAAAAGGAATAAGTCAAAATCAAATAAGATTACTCTAATAGGTTTTACTAGAACTTTATTCGTAGTAGAGTTATTATGTACTACCTACTTTAGTACTAAGTTACTTAGTTTTTATTGTGATACTACACTATTTTTTCACACACCAGCGAAGGGTGATCAATGAGGATGAAAACAGGCCAGTTAGCCTATCATGATGAGTTCATCAGGAATTAATCATGATAGTTTCCAGGGGGAACCGCGAGGAGGTCGACCTGGTTGGATATATTGTTAGCAATTGTTAGGGATTCTTAGTCTCCATTACTAACAATCCCTTTTCTCCCCCCTTGATATTACACTATTAACTTTTCGTCATTGTATACAAATCCTTGGAACATATAAAAAATGGCAGTTTTTCTTCACACATCATCAACATCATATTAGCCTTTAACTGTCCACTGCTGAAGATGAGCCTCTTCTTTGGCGAGTTTTGTCAGTAGTTGCCACGCTTGACAGGCGAATTGGCAATCGCAGTTAGGCTTTAGAAATGTTTCAATGGGGACGCTGCTGCCCGTCCCTCGCCTTCCATTGGTCGCCTCTTACGACACCCATAGGAAAGAATGGGGTGGCCTATTCTATGCCGGGACCACACAGGACTTCCTTTATACAGAATTTTTATAAGTTAAATTTCTGCTTGTTCTTGTTTCTTGTTGCTATTTTTTTTATTTGTCTTTCTTGTATTATGTATTTGACTACTATAAAGTAGCAATTATTACTCTGTGTTGATTACGGGGAAATAAATGAAAGATTTTTTTATAAACAAATATCTTAACAATTAATGAAGTAAAAAAAAAAAAAGAAATTTAACAAATTGTGACCATATTGGAACTACAAAATTGAATAATAAAATTAACAATTATTGATGGTTCAATCAATTACAAGATAATAAAATTAATTACATATGTGCCCATCTTAAAATGTCCTATATTTGTAAAACAACGTCTAAATAATCCTGTTCGAGACTATTTTGGAAAAATATTTTTTTTGTTGTTTTTAAGTAACTAAATAAGATTTATCTTTTATAAGTTCTAACAACAATTTTTTTTTTCTAAATTAGGTAGCAGTGGCAATCGAAGAACGACGTTGGTGGTACCCACGGGCGACACTACAGATGAGGGTTCTCGCTCCCCAGGACTCGACCATGTGCCTAATTGGGGCTCGTGCACCTCCTGATACGAAATTCGATCCTCATCAATCGTAAGTAGATACTAATACATCTTTTTTTTTTACCACAAAGATGGCAAACAATCATACAGCTCCAATGGATGTCTGCAACACTAGGAGTATTACGTATGCGTTGCTGACCCTCAAGAAACCTTAATACATCCCTTTTGAAGAACCTTATATTGTGGTCTCTAGAAAAATTCTTACTAAGAGTTTAATAAACTAATCCTTTTAATCCAAGGTTAAGCATTAAGTCAACTAGCAATAAATAAGATTATTTATTAAACTACTTATTATAACAAATAATATATAGTACACATACATACATAAATGTACACAGAGCACACACAAGGTAATATGACGAATCTAGTAAAATATTGCAAAAGAAAGAATATTACTATATGTTTGTCATTTCCGACAATTGTTTCGACTTTATCCGAAAGTTTTCTTCTACGACGCATTGTCGTAGAAGAAAACTTCTCGTCTCACAATGCTATAAAATAATAATCATTTTATTTTATTTACTTAATATTATTATAATTAATATTATTCTGTTTTCTATATATGTACTGCTATATGGGGCGGTTCCCACAATCCACCGAGTGATGGGTCATCAACTTATTTGATCGACGAGGTTCATGATTTATAATGCAATGGAAAATCCAATATAAAATGATTTGATACATCTAAATAATTTGTGTAAAACTCCCATACAAACACGGTCCCAACTGTTTGCTATTTATAAATAGAAATTTAAAAACGTGCTAAAATAACTTCTGGTACTTTAACAGTCGTAAATATTCCTACTGCTCGTGAAATAAATGGCTTTTTTTTTAATATTATTTTTGCCTCATCCTCTGATACGCTGATTGAGTTAGCTTTGTTTTATAATATTTTTTTATAAAATTAAATATAAAATTTATAGAAATAAATACATAACATTTTTTTTTTAATATAAAGTTATCATTTAAACATTGGGCTGTATAATTTAGTTTATATAATTTTTACTTAGTACTATACAAAAATAAGTTGAATTCAGTTGGTTCCTCTTTTTATGTAGTTGGTTGAAAATGCATATTAAAATGACAGTAATAAAATAAAAAATAAAAGTAGATGGATAATGGATATCATAAATTTTTAAAACGGCTATGTCTTTTAATCGAATTAAATTAAACATATTTATTTTAGTTTAGACAACTCAGTGATGATAAATGACAATGAAGTCAAGTCATTAGGCCCGTCAGGATAATAGTTTTTAGGAAGTACCGCATATAGTTCGACTTGATAGAGTGCATTTTTAGCAAAGATCCTTAAATATGTGACGATTTATGTATGTGAATGAAGCTAGAGTCAGTTCTAGTCAGTTTTTTCTATCAAGAGACTTGGAGATTTACAGTCCTCCATTATAAAAACACAGACAGCAAGAGTAGTTAAAATATTCCTCAAGAGTAATCTAATATAAATAGAGACAGCTTCCTTTAATTTCCCAGGTTGTTATCGACAGATTGCGACCGTGCAAACGGGAGTTCGTTGTTAATGAAGATCGAATAACACCTTAGAAATTAATTGGTAGGGTTGTGTAGCTATGAAACTATTTTATTAGCATATTTTCTACTTACAGTTATTATTTGTTTATATAAAATCTATACATGAATAAAAATTGATAAGCCTTGGCCTGTGAGCGTGTAACGTAAAGTTGAGTTATGGGATTGTATTGCACATAATCTAATATATAATATAAAATTCTCATGTCGCGGTGTTTGTTACCAAACTCCTCCGAAACGGCTTTACCGATTTTTATGAAATTTTGTGTGCATATCGGATAGGTCTGAGAATCAGCCAACATCTACTTTTCATACCCCTCAATGATAAGAGTAACCTACCCCAACATTTTTTTTTATAATTTTTGTAATTTTTTTTATTTTTACTTTATTATGATTTAGCATTGAAAAATGCATACAAATAAAAATTTTCATACTTTTACGATTCACCCCTGTTTTTTAATCGCGATTTTTATATGCCGCAATAGGGTTGCAAGATGGCAATCGAATATAATAATTGTAGTATGATAAATTTTCATGAATAGTTCTAGAAGTAATGTATATAGTAAAACAACGTTTGCCGAGTCAGCTAGTTTTTTTATAAAATTTGGAATGGCAAGAAGCTGATGACTCACTTTATGAAAAGTGGTAGCCATCTTCTCTATAGCTGTACATGATTGAATATATAGGTATTGTAATACATTATAATTTCTGAGGTCTCCTATGCTACGCTTCTGTAATCTGTAATTTAACTGCAATTTTAATTAAGAAATCATGAGGCTGAAGATATACATAAATTTTATTAGTTTTATCATACTATTTATTTATTTAAGCGTATACAAGCACAAGATGGCTTCCTTCAAATTATACTAGTATGTATATGAAGTATAAAGATTTACATAACAATAAAACCATTCTGTCATCGTCATATCAGCCCTTAACTCTCCACTGTAGATTTAAGCCTCCTAGGGGGGTTTTGCCAGTAGTGGCCACGCTTGGTAGGCGAAATGGCAATAGCAGTCAGGCTTTAGAGGTGTTTTAAAAAAGACGCTACTACCTATCCCTTGCTCTCCCTTAGTCGCTTCTTGTGACACCCACGGGAAAGGAAAGGGTCGCCTATTCTATACTAGGACCACACGAACATAAACTGTTTTGTAGATTGAGTAATATCTATCAAATTGAACTAATATTTTTTGCTGAATAAGTCTCTTGCGGAAGTCTATATCACTGGTAATTTAATATTTTTTTTATTAATATAAAAAACAATAAAAAAAACGTATGATAAACGGAAGCGAAATCATTTATAATGGAGTTGGGTCAATGCATTGTGGATAGGGACCATAATCGCTGTTCCGGTTCCTATCTGACTCAAAGGATATCTCTGGCAATCCAATGTCAAAATACTTCAAACGTTATGGGTACCTTTGGATCGGATACAGAACGTGAAGATTATTTTGAGTAATTGTTAACTTATACCATATTTATTTTTTATTCAAGTAATATTTAATATTATAAATGTTTATTTTTGTAATTTTACTCACCAAAAAAAAAAAAAATAAGAAAATAAATAATGAAATAAATTAAAATAGTAGTCGGAGATTGATGGCTAATATGGGAGGTTGTGGAACTTCTGGTCGTAATAGTGGTAGTCGATCTTCTAGTGTTGGCATTCACACACATACTATTAATTAATAACGGAATAAAATAAAATATTTCTAATTAAATAACCAGCGACTAATATTTTTTTAATCTAATTAAAAACATGAATGTGAAAGTTGATATACGTGATTACTAATTTACCTATTTGGGCCTTTTACCGTTTGGTAACCCTATCGGTTACTACGACCGTCGGTTAGTGGAGTCTTTATTATAGAACCATTATGTAAATTAAGGCTTTCTTATTATGATAGAGGTCGTGATATTGGAAAATTTTAAAGAGACCAACTATAATGACTATATAAGCATAATTGTGTTCCCAGAATAATTAAGGGTACTTTATTTGCATTATACAATGTAGGGAATAAAATAATATAGATAATAAATATATCAGATTTACTGTTAATTGTATTAAACAAACTTTTAATTAAATTAAAATTACTTAAAAATAATTTCAAATATAAATTGACATATATATATATATATATATATATATATATATATATATATATATATATATATATATATATATATATATATATATATATATATATATATATATATATATAATGACATATCACTATATATTCAACAATTATAAATAATTTACCCTATCACTATTTAGTCCTAAACTCAGTAAAGTTTGCTTATGTATTGTAATTGGTGGTTTGTATTCACACAATTAAACTTAAAAATATTTGTGATATGTACTTAATACTAAGTTTATTTGAATAAATGATTTCTATTCTATTCTACTATTAGATATACTTATATATACTTGTACATAATTACATACACACTATTAAGACAGTAATATTGTATAGTATCTAATGTTTGTTATAATGCATTATGCTGTTAATATTTGTATAAATAAATAAATACATGCACTTTATTATGCACCCAAAAAAATACTCAGATCAGTACAAATAGACAGAGAAAACAAAATCTTTGTATTGTGAGAATCAAACTTGTTGTTCGATCTCCCATCGAAAGTTGAGTAAGTATTATAAATCTCTTTTCGACCAAATTCCTCAAAATATTATATATTTTATAGGGAATATAAATATTTACGAGGTAAGATTTGTACCGTATGGATGTCAAAGATAAATATATCATTCAAATTGAGTGACAATAACAACTGCTACTCGAAACGAAATATGTAATTACAATCATTCATGTATAAGAATACAGATGTGATATTTCAGTATCTAGTTACGCATATAATTGACCGTCTTCAAGAAGATTGTTATCCTTTATTTGATATTTTTTGTATATATACTAGCTGACTCGGCAAACGTTGTTTTACCATATACATTATTTTTAGAACTATACATGAAAATTTATCGTACTACAATTATTATATTCGATTGCCATCTTGCAACCATATTGCCGCATATAAAAATCGCGATAAAAAACCAGGTGTTGATCGTAAAACGTTGAAAATTTGAGGTTGTATGTATTTTTCAATGCTAAATCATAATAAAATAAAAATGGAAAAAATTGTCAAAAAAATAAAAAAAAAATTTTTGGGAAGTGTCACCCTTATCATTGAAGGGTATAAAAAATAGATGTTGGCCAATTCTCAGACCTACCCAATATGCACACAAAATTTCATAAAAATCGGTAAAGGCCTTTCGGAGGAGTTTGGTAACAAACACCGTGACACGAGAATTTTATATATAAGATATTAAACGGTATTATTCCTGATTGTTTCCCAATTATAAAGTGATATTGATGATTATTTTTATAATAGCAATTGGTCTATTCTCGTATTCAACGTTATGTTATTTTTGCCAAAAATGAAATCTTACTATTATATTATATGCCTTTCTATTCTGAACGAATTGAAAATCAGAGAGAGATTGTCGTCAACTATTCCTATACGAATTCTCAAGTACTTCGGCCATATCATCCGGAATGAAGATTGTATGGAACGTCTAATTGTCCAAGAAGCGGTACAAGGCAAACGTTCTCGGGGTAGATCACCAACGGACTGACCTCATCAAAACGGCCACACAGCAGTCTATTGTAAAATGCTCTCGCTCAGCGGCGAACAGAAGTAGATGGAGACATATTGCGAGGACCTCAATCGCGAAGGAGAGCCTCATCGACGATCCACTGTCATTGTGAAAACCACGCCAACTCTGTGAAGAGTGTACGATTGAAGAGAGAGAGATATGCTTTTTTAATATTTTCTACTTTATAATTTTTAATGGCAATAATCTAAGTTTTAACATTTTTGTAGATCTAATTGTAGCAAGTTTAGTGCAATTTTGTATATAAAGTTAATAGTATATTAATAAAAAATACTAAATTATTTGTTTTGTTAGCAATTAACTAAATTAAAGGTAAAATATGATATTATGTAGTGAAAAATTTAATCAACAATTAATTATTAATAAATATGCACGTTTTTGCCAAAAGGCTCTCTGGGAGGCAATTATCAATATAAGATACAAAATACAGTAGTAGAGTAATTCTAAATAATTTGTTTATAATTTGGTTTTAATTATTCTTCGTTCCGTTTATGTTTATTAAATGTGAAATAAAAGTAATAAGAGAGAGATAAAAAAAATTCAAAATAAAAAAACTACTAATTTTAAAAGTTTTTACCTAACTATAAATAAATAGGTCAGTTAAAAATAAAATTCTTTCTGTAAGAAGTACACACATCTCTTATAAATTACACAAAAACAAATGTATCCATTCATACTAATTTGTGTCGTCGTACGTAACGGACTCATATTTTCATCTCAGAATGAAGCCAAGTAATGTGCGAGTATATCACAGAATGAACAAAACGATTCGTCTTTTACTTGGTCTACGGAAGGTAATTCAGTGGAAATATTTGCCGAGTTTCCCATGTTTAAATGCAACTCCTCTGAATTTCCTAAATCAATGATATGATTTACAAGCGAGTGATTTTATTGAAGCTCTTGAAACAGATGCTTCTTTGATTCGTATTTGAAATCATTGATTTATTTTATTATATTATCTATAACATACTCATAGAAGGATTGAACGATGTATGTAATATATTTAGATACAAAATACTTATTCATGGAAAGGCTACCTAAGTATACATTTTCGGGAATTCGTCACATACATAAGTAGCTACATATTTGTACAAAAATATAAAATCAAATCTCTATCTTTACATCTCTTGTGTAAAGAAAGCTAAATATAAAAAAAAAATAGGGAAAACTAACTAATTTTTTTTTTATTTAATAGAAAATTACTTGCATTAACCTATCTATGGCATAAGCAGATCATTTTAATCAAATTACTGTATTGTAATACTAGGCTACTTATATATATAAGAATACTGAGTAGTTTGAGCGTTCAAAGTTAGCAATGAATATGTATACCTGGAATAACTTGCCAGACTAAGTAAATCAGCCAAAGTTGACGGAGAGATCAATCGATGAATACAACTCGCCTGTACACAGGTTGAAAAACTACAAGAGTATAGTATTTTTTATTAAAAATGTAACAAAATAAAAAAAAATAGAAGCGATACCATAACAATAAAATATATTCCTATGGCAATGATATAAACTAGCAAATTTTTCAAACTTATACCTGACATGGGTATCATTTACGATATTATAATTACAAATTACTTAACAGTTTATGATATAGTTCGTGATTTGCATTTCATTCATTCATTTTCTTAATCATTCATTCTGCAGAATATGGACCTTCATTATAAACTATAACAAATAAATCTGTGTTACCTGTATCCATTGATTCCTTGCAATACCTACATTGAAAATCGTTGCTCTCTCAATTAGCAAAAAGGTGGGAGGCGGTGAGGAATAAATTACTTCAAAAATAGATACTGTTTGATGTTATCTGGCTAAGCATGTTTAAAAATATATTAAGATGCATACTATATAAATTTAACCTTCTGGTGGCTTAATCTAATTCCATCTCACAGCTATTAGGATAATTTGGAACGCACGTTACATAATTCAATATTTTGTTCTAATTTTTTTTCTCTTTGTACATATAGATCTACAGAGCACGAAGAACAGCCAGGTCCTGAATTCGTGTCCGCTGGTGTGTCACTGTTCGTGGGAGGCGGTGCCTGCGGGGGAGGTGTTCTGTACAGACAAAGGACAGCGCCAGCCCCACATTCACCTGCGCACCTGGTACCGCCTGCGTCCCACGACAGGCTGTGGATGTGGAAATGCTTCAATTATACGTAAGTGTAATTAAAAAATCTTCATAAAGAATATATTACCTTTATTTTTGTTACATTTCTTTTATCATAGTTGAATACCATAAATATGTAAGTTTTGTTTAAGTAAAAATGTCATAAATGTGTTAAAACTTTATTAATTGTCATTTTTTAAAAACAATTGAACAGTTTTCAATATTCCTATCAACATCTGCAACTTCAAAACGATCGCTAATAAAGATATTGAATTAAACTTCTACTACAAGAAAAGATTATTATGTTTCTGGCTAAGGTTTCTAGGTATATAATAAAATACTAATAAAGATTGTGATATTTATAGGAAATCATTATGTGGACAATGCAAGCAGTTAAAAATATTTGTTTGTCGCTGCTGTAAATAAATAATAATGTTTTTATTATAAAACACATATATTTACCTAAAGAAATCATTATGCATTTAAATTTTCTCCATAAATATCCTTTTTTTTAAACATATTTCAAGCTATGTTCAGTCTTAGATAATGAGGAGGTCAAATTACTCTTACCATCTTTTGTGATAGGAGAAATTTTCAGTTTTTCTAGTTTTACAATTTTAATAATGACATCTTTGTTTAAAATACATGCATTTTTAATTCTCTTTAATAATAAAAGATATTCTATACAGATATACTAATATAATTATCATCCTGCCTGCGATCAAACTCTTTATAACTACTCCTCTTCATACAAAGGTTAGCCAGAAAAGTTCATATTTAGCAATATAGCCGCCCATTGTTTTCTCAATGTGAACATTTCTTATAATTGTTTATATCCATAATAAGTTTACTACTAGTAGTACTAATCTTTTGAAGGAAACAATAAAGGGTATCTATCTATCTATTTATCATCTATTTGTCGAACTGACAATTTCTTATAGTTGTCCCCACAAGTTGTTTCCAAAAATAAACAACACTCGATAGACGATTTCATAATACGACCATGCAACCATATAAGTCACAAAGTTAACTCCCATAAATCCCAAATCCGCTGATTCATCTGTCGGCTCACGTAAGTTATGCTTACTGAATGACAAATAGCCCTTACCAGATAGTGGTTGCGGCCAGTTTGATATACAGTATTGAATTATGAGCTTGAACGCAAGTTATTGCCTCAATATTAGAGCGTCGACATCTCTATGTAATTGGATTCAGAATACTACGCTGTTGTTCTTTGGTATATATAGGTGATATTCTGCTTGCTTTCACTTTGTTTTCTACTGCTTTTTAAACTTTTTATTAGTAACGTCCGTGATATGTGCCATTGTGTATCTATTTACATATTTACGCCAATTTATTTTAATAAATAAATCAATAAATGGGTATACTTTATTTTCATTATACAATATATCATAAACAAATAGTTGGTTGTCAATTAAAGGAAAAAACAGACGATAGAGTTTTTTAACTAGTTCATGCAGATATCTCATTCGTCATTCAAAAATTCAAATTAAATTTTATAATATAAAAAATCTATCTTTAATTGCCAATTTCTGGTATTTCAGGTATATAGGCTACGGTAATTATTACAATCAAGTAGGTCATATGCTTGATTTCCACCTCAGAGCTATTACAAAATTCTAGAATATTAGAAAAGCATAGGGATAGGTAGGTAAGCAATTAACAATCTTTCCTAAGGTGAGAAAGAGCTGAAGCAGTATTCAATAAAATATAAATTGGTACAATGAATGAATAATACATTTACTATTCTCCAGTTTACATAAAGATAAAAAGGTAACAATTATAACATTCGTCTCTGAAATTGTAACTATAAAAGAATTTGGTCAAATAAAATCGATAAAATATTAATAAAATATTTTTATTCAATATAAAAAAAATATTATTCATTTGATTTGCTTTTAAAATTCCACAACAACAAACAATGTTATCGTTCTCGATGTAAAGAGATCCATCTAATTTTTCTAAGTCGATACACTTGCGAAATTGCGCCCCGAAAATTGCCATGATTTTTATGTACCATAAATCGTAACGGTTGCGCTCGTAAAATCTATCCGTATGTTTTATACTCCTACATCGACGTCCAGATTTTTCTTATTTGCTTTAAATATTCTGAAGACACATTTCCGTTCAATCGAATTAGTACATTAGGAGATTTAATGCCAAATTCCAAAACTTCTACATATTAAGTTTTACTAAGGAAACTACTATATATTTTTCCTGTTTTCTTAACACGTATGTAAATGTTATAACTACAATAATAATACTGAATAATTTTCGTATTTATGTACATTAATTAATAAGTTATAATAATTCATAATTCCGTAAAAATAAATTTGATAAGAGCTATATTATATACTATACTCATTCATTAATTCATTCATTCATTTACATGCCCTGAATTCATGAAGCAAATGACATTTTTAAATGATTCGAAATCTGAGATTTTAAATTTCGTTTTACATAAAAATTCAATGAATGAATGGGATTCAACCTTGAGATTTTAGGACTATAGTTAAGTTTTGTAAGATTGAGCTATTTGAGCTATTATCATACAAATATTCGAGATTGTAAACATATAACTACTGATTTTGTACAATAATATCAACTAAGAATATACGCTTTCAATGTCCGACACAATATATCTTTCAATTCTGACAATATAATGTTTCACATATACTAAGATTAATGCAGTTCACGTTACACAATTAAAATAAATACAAGCATACAAGGTAAATGCATGACTAAGGTTTAACTCGACTCGCATAATTCAAAGAAGGTACCATGATAAACCAACACGGCGGTAGCGTCCGTCTGTGGACATAGATAAAACGATTTCACAGTAATAATCGCAGGTATTTTATGCAACCTGCTCGGATAAGAATTATAATTTGCCACACCTCCTGTTGTAGACATGCAGACAAATGGAAAGTGTTATCTAAAGCCGATGTGATAAAGGGTCACCAAGCAGAATTGGAAATGGGTCTCAGTGACCAAACGTTACTAATCTAAGCTCAAAGGTTATCTATAGAAGATTGTTTTAGAGATATATACCTTTTCTTGTACATACTTGATGTTTAATTTTGTATATGTTTTTTATATATTAGGTATATCAAAGGTGCAATAAAAAGATAAACAAATGGGTCAGCCCGTTAATTAAAGGATGGGTATTTGATTGGCTTCCAATTAGAATATTTCTAATCCTTCGGATACAGATTCAAGCAAATAGGATAATTATGTGAATTTGATCGAAACAGATATACCCATAATATATATTTACAGTATTTGGTGAAGTTTAAAAAGCTAATACACAGTAGCAGACAATAACTATGTTGAAATGATAATGATAAACTAAATGATAATCTTCCTATGATTCAGTTTTAATAAGCAAAAGTAATTAAACAATATATTAAACTACTTCAAAAATGTACTATTATCACCTCATAATGGAGAAGGATTTAATCTAAAGACATAAAATATTAGCATAACGGTATGAAGAAGAAACGTTGATGAGACGATCACCACTAAAATAGTGAGAATTCACGGAAGATTTATTAAAAACAAGAAAAACATAGTGACTATAAAACAAGTAAAAATTACAATTAAAATAATTAAATAGTATTCAACTAAACGGAACTATTTTAACAAAAGACAATCAGCTAAGAATGTCAATAAAATGGTATTGTACAAACGTTTGTAACTATTCAATCCCAATATTGGTATATGTACATAAAACATAAAAAAAAATTGGTATATGTACATAAAACAAAAATAGAGCAATGTACAGCAAAGTAAAAAAATGTTCAAAAATTCTACTAACTACTTAAATATTGGAATTGTTGTTGGCATGTTAATATCAACGATGGCTATTTCGCATTTAAAACGAAAAATTACGAGTGTAAATATTTAAGCGAGGACAATATTCCGCCATTTCTGCCGCCAGCTCGTAATCGTACATCAAATATTAACAACTTAATAATTTGAGCGCCCCGTAAAAATAACGTTCATTTAAATCGTGTCGTAAAGCTGGCAATGTCTCAATAAAACACCTCCGTACGGACATCGTAGATTCACCATGAATAACGACTATTGCTGCCGCGTAGAAAATGAAATTGCGTTTGAAAGTCAAGAATACATACTTATGTTACTATAGCACTGTTATTACATAGTGCTTATATGAAACACTTCTTAATTATTCAATATAATTCTTATTTTTGTAAATGAGATAAAATCGATTATATTAAAAAAAAAAACATGTCGAAGAACGACAAAAAAATTTCGCCTATCATATTTATATGCAGCATCTTATTCTAAATTGACATAAATTTTTATAAGTCATATTATTACGTATTTTTTTATTAACCGTTGTAACAATTTTCGTCATACAATGGCATAGATTCATAGACGTCAAACCCTTGTTCCGGGTTATTCAAATATTACAATGTCATTATTCATTCTTGCAGATCAAATTTCAGAAATTCAAATGAAATAGTGTTCAAAATATTCAAGTAATTGAATAATAATTTTTCTAACAAACTACTTCAATTGTAATAAAATGATGGAACTAAATATTTTGAAATGGGTACTTTCAAAATTTATACCTACTCATAAATAAATATATGCGCCAAACATAAACCTCGCTGTTCTTTAAAGTCGATTAAAAGTTAATTACTTATTACAAACAAAGAACCTGCAATAGGGTGAAACTTTTCTTTCTTTAAAGATAATAAAAGTTGAACATGTTAGAACAGGAGATGCCAATTACTGGGACATAATTTATAAAGCTTTTGTATACCAAAACGTGAAGCTCAAATTTCGTTATCAATCAAATTACTTCCACTTATATTGTTTTCCGATGAAATCGTTTTATTATGCAGCTTAATTAACATACTGTAACAAGTTTGATGGCTGCTATCGAAAATACGCCAAAATAATTATATGTTTACGTTGAAATACGAGTAGTAGGTACAAGTTGGCTCAGTAGCCAATTTGTTTCATTAAAATAATGGTGTTTTTATTCACGAGGTTTGTTGATATATTTATGTAACGGTTTTATTTTTTAAAGTATGTAATAAGTATCTGTAAAGATTGTTAATTACAAGGTCGAGAGATTTTTGAAGAGAGATCTAATAAATTAAAATTAATACTCTTCTGTCTTATTTACTAAGGATATATTATATTTGTAGATAGCAATTTCAAATAAGAAAACAAATAAATTTAATACTTTCGGAATTTTTTAGATCTTTTGGGTAATAACTGTCTTTAAATTGAATCCTACTAGGTATTTGCTAATTAAGTAATAAATATAATAATAAAACATTTGCAATAATAGTATAAGATTTCCATTCATAATGAACATACAAACAAAAATATACAGAAAATTTAAAAATATTACGAATAGATACAACTTTTTGATGTCAATAAAAAAATAACATAAACAAGCAGTGTTTTCAAAGAATATCTCGTTTCAAAAATTAAACAGAATTTACATTCTGTGTTTTAAACCAAAACAAAACATACTTTATTCTCTGTAAAACTAAATCGATAAGAGTTTGTACAGAAAACTCTTTTATCCCTTAATTTTTTCAGTCGTATACTCTTAACACAGCAGTATCATCAATTAATAGTAGGTCCCATACATAGGTTAATAATAACTACGATATATTAACACAATTATAACAAATATAACAAAATGACGCGCGCATAATGCCCCTGGTATTGCAGGCGTTCATAGTCTACGGTAACCGCTTGCCATCAGGTGGGCCGTATGCTTGTTTGCCACCTCAGTGGTATAAAAAAAAAACAAATTTATTTTCTGAACGATCTACTACGAATTATTAAATCTGAAGTTAGACCAAAACTTCGGGCATTTACTACAATGAACTTTATTAAATTTGGTCGGTCGTTACAAATTTTCCTTTCGATGCAACCGATTTATATTTGAGGTTTAATGTGCTATAAGCCTTACTCCAAACAAACTTGATTGAACTTATAATTTCAGTTACACAAAGTTCGATTGAATATCATTCATATCCGAACAGGATTTGTATTTTCTAAACAGACCTCCCCTCTGATTATGCGAGTTTAAATATTATTTATGATGTACTCGTAGATAGCGAATCGAATATTCAGGAACACGGTGGGTCGGACACAATGTATATACAGAGGTGAACATTATTAGTGAGGTTTATTGAAAGGTTTCCAACTCCAAATCGTATCTATAAGAATGAACACATTGTTCTAATTGTATCGGTTTCTGAGACCGCGAAGCTATTAATAATGTTTGTGTTTGAAATTGACGTGGTAATGTAAACACGAGAGCATCGTGACCTAGTTTTGTCTTACCAACATAAGAGGATCTTAGTTGTTTTGAATTCTATGCTAGCTTAGATCAAATATTATTATTAAATATGCAGTAAGTGGATTGGTAATAACGGTAGAGCTAATAACCCCATTACTAGCATACATATATATGGTCAGACCAAAATTCAGTCTTGAATGTGCATTAATTACTTAGTCTCTTTGCATATAAATAGATATCATATAAACTGTATATCCTTCCAATTTTCCATAATTGTCTCGAGATCATAAGATCATTATCACCATCATTTCACCCATTATCCGTCCACTGCTGGACATGGGAAGCTATGTCCAGCAGTGGACGGATTGCTCCATAGATTGCCATAAAAAACAGTCCTGAGCCAATTGCATCTATTGACTCTTTGCAATGCATTTGAAGTCGTCACTCCATCTAGTGGGGATGATCCTACACTGCGTTTGCCCCTACAAGGTCGCTACTCAAGAACCGTTTTTCCCCATCAGTTGTCAGTTCTTTGATCTATGTGCACAACCCATTGCCACTTCAGTGCTTTCACTGCTTGCTTATCTTTCGAGGTTATAAGATGATGCAAGAAAATCTAACTTTGTTTTTTTTTTAAATATCTATTTATGTCTGAAGCGTCAATAACTTAATTATAATTATTTTTTTCAGAAGTCAACTTTCTACTGACGGTATAACAATCTCTGCACCTTCCGAAGCTGGTCGCTGGTCGCTATGGGCATTATCTCTGTCAAACAGAGGTCTCCGATTCTCAGCTCCTCGAACCATCAACGTTTTCCGACCGATCCAGCTCGACTTCTCCCTTCCCCCGGCCTTGAAGGTGGGGGAGACGGTGGAAGTGGATGTGAAGATTACGAATAACATCAATAATTGCATGGATGTAAGTATAAAACTTATTGTTAAAATAAAAAACGTCAATGGTTATCAATAGTCAAAACAAGAGAAATAACTTCATGTATAATGTATTTTTACGCAACTTAGAATAGCAAATAAGCTGACGGCCCACCAAAAAATGGTAAGCGTCGCCTATGGACGTGAATAGTACCATGAACATAACAGAGTATACTCTGTTACCTATAATACCCATCATGCGTTGCCATTCTTGAGGACTAAGATGTTATGCCTCTGTACCCTGTAATTAAGGTGTGTGAAACAAATGAAGTAAAGAATGTAGCATATTATCAGAGAGAGACTTTGTACGATAGTCGTCTGCTTGGGTGCCTTTGCCGCTTAGCAACTGCACTTGTATGGCTTTACAACAATTTTAAGAGTGAGATATGACAATGAAATTACAAGATCTGAGACAGAATTAGACCTTAGAGAAGCATAAGGTAGCAAACATAATTGTACTCTAAACGTAAATATTAAGGTATACTTTGTAAAGAGATCTTAGCTAATGTAAGATGTTTTCCTAAGAACAACTATGTTGTTAAAAATAACAACGTATAAGAAATATACATAAAAAAAAATATATAAAATTTTAATTTCAACCTCTATTCTATAAAATTATTTACAAATTTTACACTACTTTTATTTTAACAAATATTAATATAAATATATATGATATGTGAAAGAAGCGAATGAGGTTTGTTTGAATCGAAGCATTTGGCGTTCTATTATTTCTGCCTACCCTAATGGGAGACAGGCGTGCCAGATATGTATGTATGTATATATGATATTTAAACAATTCTCTAATTAAAAGTGTAATGAATCGTTTACAAATTATTATTGTTCATCATATTATGGAAATCAATTCCTATTGAACAGCTAAATAATATTAAATAATCTATTTTTAGAATCAAATAAAAAGGTACACAATATTAATCACTAAACTATAGGTCCCCATTAAAAATACATAGTCCCCTTAATCCCCTAAGTAATGTAAGTGTTTCTCTCCACCTTGCAGCTTACTCTCTGACAGTTTTCATTAGTATTTACCTTCTTCACCAAGCCACTTATTGATAGACACAAATCTGCTGGCTTAAGAATAATTCAGATGTTAGATACACATATACAACTGTAACAATTTGTTGTTTTGAAATTGTGAATGTGGAATAAAAAGTTAACAACTACTACTTAAAAAAATTCTATTTATTTATTTATTTATTTTAAAAAACCAACAGCGGTTTACAAATAAAATTAACAAACATTTTATAACAAAGTAGTATGGCCAATAACAGATTATTCTAAATTAATTTCGTAGATTATGTAGTTGACAGTTGTTAAAGGAAAAGCAGAAAAAATAAACAAATCAAATAGGTAGGCAATCGTTGAAGTCACAATAATATTTTTACACATACGCAATAGATAAATTAATTCTAATTAAATAAATTAAATATCTAAATTCAAAATAAAATTAGTATGAGAGTAGTAAGTAAGTAAATTTTTTTGGTTACATAAATTGTTATCAAAATTGGGTTATAATTTAGCAAACACATCGCGTAACATACACAAGCACAATATAAACAGAAAAATGCATATCATCCATTCTTTATTTATTTATAAGTATAGTTCTCAGGTATTAAAATGCATGAGGTTTGAGCTTTACGGTATATTCTCTATTCATATTTTAAGGCGACAATAACTGTCTTTCATTAGATAGGCCATCAACTTGTATGTCATTTTAAGTTACTAAAAAAATCTTGTTTTCTATTTTTATTTTAAATCTTATCCTTCATACCACTGTATACATTATTTTCTACTGAACTGAGAATTAGTCAAATATTAAAAATGTCTAATTAAAAAAAATATTACCGCGATTTATTTTCGTACTGGTAGTTTAAAAGGCAAGCGTGCATTTCAATCTTTCCTGACTTACCGGATGTCCCCAAAGTTTGCCAACAGCAACTGCAATACTCTCACGACCGTGTGTGCCAAAAACGGTGAGGCTGATGTGAGTTTGAAACGGTTAAACCAGGATAGATTACATAATCGACCCATTTGCCAGGATTTGCTCGCGATCGCCGCCATTACCCGGGAATCCCTAATCGGGATTCGAAGAGCGGCGCCGATCGCAAACAAATAGCTATCACACGTGTGGTTACTGTTCGAATTTGTTTAGATAAGTTTCTATTGCCCCTAATAGGGTTTTATAACTTTGTTAATCTGATGTATTTAACAATCTACGAGATGGTGGAAACAAAATTAAACTGGACTTGATGTTTGAAATGGTAAATGAGTTGGTATATTTCGAATGTGTAATTATAGCTGTGTGGCATTAAGGAAAAGAAAATCTACACTTACAACATAAAGGAAATATAAAAATATTATTGAAATAGAAATGAAACAACTCTTTCTGAGAAATGTCAGAGTTTGTGCAGATAATTTAAAATTATAAAACAAATTGTTTCTGGAAAAAGAAAAAAAAACATTTGATTGATGTTCATGCTTACATTACCAGGAATACGTAATTAGAAAGTAAAAATCTAATGATAAACAAAAATATTACGAAACAAAGTAAATTTATAAAGTATAAAAAATATTATTAAATATTTCGTAAGTACCATTATATTTTAACTATAAGACTTACTGGATTGACTTTTTTTTATACCACGAAGGTGACAAGCAAGCATACTGTCCATCTAATTGTAAACGGTGACGCCTATGGATGCCTGCAACACCAGGGATATCACGTGCGTGTTACCGATCCTGAAGAAACCTTAATACATGTATTTTAGTCGAGAATGCTCGACTATTAGCTAGTTACTTGTAACGTTAGTTTTTATTGACGTAAGTCAATTCTATTTTACAATTAAAATGTATTTATTATAAATAAATTTTTCAATTCAGCCTCTGGAAGCCACTTGTAAGAACATAACAAATTTACAAGAAAATTATACATCAATTACTTGATTGAAACCCGCAATTATATAACCATGTAAACAAATTATTATTACTATTATTACATTAAAAAATAAACAGATAGATAAATAATTTATTTGCATTACTTACAGCATACAAATTATAACAGACACAGATATACACAAATAGATAAATATAAATGTAAAACTGTACTAGTGCTTTTTAAAAAACATATTTTTTAAACAAAAACATCTTAATAATAGGTAATTAAAGAGCTATATATATATATATATATATAATTTTTTTTTTGCTTCTTCCAAAAGTTTTCTTCAGGGGGATTTTCGCCTCGCACTAATTTCCCTAGACATCGGATAAAAAATGAATATAAATATAAAAAAATATATTTTTATTTATATTATTTAGTGCTTTTTTTTAATAAAATAAACATATTTATAAAAAAAATATTAATAATAGATAATTAAATAGCTATTGCATAGCAAGTACTTACATTTATTTACCAAAAAGCAATTTATTTGAAAGGTTGTATTAAGTGTAACAAAGACCGGGACATCGTCCGTAACATAAAGGGAAGGAATTAATACATTCTCTTCAAATCAAGCAATAATAAGTATTCGGAAATATCTGCTCATAGCCCCGGGTGCGAGATCCGGGTGGCTATAATTGCTCCCCCCACTACCTTCCCCCCTTTATTGGCCTAAATATCTGCGAAATCAACACTAGAGAATCACCTCCCGAGTATTGTGTAGGGTGGCCATTGTGAACTGGCATTAAGGAACATTCTAAGATTCTTACGCGTCTTGCTTGGGTTTTGGTTGAAGCCGGGAAAATTCTTGCATATTTTTAACATAGCGTCGTTATACAGGGTGAAATGGAAATTATTAGCATCCTCACTCCAACGTGCCACGAGTTCAATTGAATATTTTTAACCGACTTCAAAAAAGGAGGAAATTCTATGATTTTTATATATATGTATGTTCACAGATTTCTTCGTTAATTGTGATGGTAAATAAATAATATGAAATATTCTTTTCTTTTTTTTTTTAAATGTAATGTTAGGTTGAAAGACGATAAAAATATTTTGAACCCCCTATACTAACACAACGCGTTCACTTGTCAAGTTAGTACGCGAATAATGCTATATAGATTTATGTACTTTATATAAATTGTAATGATTATTTAATTACGCGTTTAAAATTAGAAATACCTACTTACGTTTAACTTTTAATTACCTTCCATTTTGTTAGTCGAAAAAAATTGCGGAAAACTGCATTTGGAAAATTATATTTTGGCATTAACAAATTTTATCGTATCTAATTATATCAGGTGTCGGTAATTTAATTCAAACCAATTAAATATCTTTTTAGAATTACCTTCACATAAGTTTGGACTTTTTCCCACTTAAGAATTTTTCTTATTTTTCAATAGATGTTGTAAATAAATATTCCAAATTAATTTAGAATATTTTATATATTCATGTTTAATTCTTTACAGAATAGATAGAGAGAACTAAGTGTTATTTACACTTCTTAATTATTAATTATTAATGGTTTTACATATAATTATAGTAATACTAGTTTTTGCCTGCAATTTCTTCGAATAATATGTAAAATACATATATAAAATAACTAGGATAAGAAATAACCTATGTCTTATATACACACACATCGCACACAGACACATATATAGGTGTGTGTGTGTGTGTGTGTGTGTGTGTGTGTGTGTGTGTGTGTGTTTGTGTGTATGCTGAAACTTTTTATTATATGTATTGATTTTCAAAAATTCTATCTACTTGAGTGAAACCGGGTTTGATCGCTAAAAATTAATTTAATTTTTCATTTATAACGTTAGTAATTAAGTAAAGTATTTTTATAATACTAGTAAATTGTACAATATAAACTACGAAACATAGTCTTAGGTACACTATTGTCTCAATCCCTCAGGGATGACTCGTTTACATTGGCGTTCTCGAATATTCTCCCGAAGTCCCGAAGGAGGCATCTTGCTGAAAGGCCATTGCAGCAATTTGATACTGATAGACTGTTGGATATTGCTCGTTATTTTTTAAAATGTTATATTTATATTCTTATTTTATATATTTAAATAAATATATGTAATAAGTCATTACATTATTATAAATTATTTAATGCCAAAGTATATTTGCTTGTTTAATCTAGTTCCACAGTAACTAAACTCTTGGATTGATATTAAAAATATTTTTTTTATTATATTTATTATTACTTTTAGAAAGCCGATCCCATTTCGCATTAAAAAAAAAAAACAAAAAAACATTGCGACTAATTTGTACCGAATTAATGCCAAAAAAAAGTAATGTACAATTAATTTTTACAACTTTATCTCACCTTAGTTCACGCAACTATAGCGGATCAAGATTTTACACGAAAAGACTGATTTTACTATTGCCACTCACAAAGAGCATGCTTTCAGCATTTGCTTAGGTTCTAAAATCGGCAAACTGTAATTACATAGTGACTACAAGAGAGATATTTAATAAAAAATAATATGAAAGATTTTAATAAGACCAATAAATGCCAAATTTTATAGTTTAAAATTTTAATATAATATTAATTATTTTATATATTTTTCAAAGGTGACAGCCCTACTAGCCCTCAGCGCAGGCGCAGCGTTCGCCAGTACCGGTGCTCTGTACGTTACTGAGAGATTGCGGCTGGGCCCAAGAGGAGGTACTCAACTCGTGGTCAGAGTCGCTGTGAACACTCCTGGGAGAAAAAATATAACTGGTAAGTATTTTACAAACATACATATCATTACCTTTTGTATGTATTTACAACTAAGTTTTATCCCACTACTGCGCATAGGTCTATTCTCTATTAAAAGAAAAATAAAAAATTCTAAAGAATAATTTGTGTTCCATAAAAAAAAGAACAACTTCAATTGTCAGTACAAATCCAGTTCTTTTGATTTTAAAACTAAACTATTGAACGGATTGTGATAATATTTCTATGTAACCAACCAAAAAGATAGAAGAAAGAAGATTTGTATTTTTAGATAAAAAGATATTTCCAAATCAGCTTATAACTTAAAAAATTATGAGGTAACGTCCTCCTTTTTTTAAAGTCGGTTGATAATTTATTTTTAAAGGAGATCAGTTTTATACTGTTATCACACAAACCAGATAGCTTGGTATGAGGTTTTATTTCCAATTTTCCTTCTCTTGGATTGGTGTATGAAGCCTCATTCCATTAATTGCCTATTACGATATTCTAAGGATGAGAATGCTAAAAATAAGAGGTAGTACTTTTTTTCTCATTCTAACATCACATGGAAAGAGAGTATGGATTGGAAATAGCAATTTTTTTATCCAATATATATTGTTATATACAAACTTCAGTATCCTTTCTCTCTATCTAATCTAAAATAATAACAGAAAAATTTTAAGTAGAGATGGAGAAATATTTTCTATTATATTATTACGTTTTCAATTATGAAATTATTATTAAATAATAATTATTAAATTATCCAAGTATGAATGGTTCAATTTTTTCTAAGTCACATTAGTTCTTATGCGACTTCAATTAAGAGTTTTATTTTTATTCTTTAATTGACCTACTCGTGTATCTATAGTCGTAACCCGATTAAATTTATTGAGGACACGGATGAACTGAGTTATAATCTAATAAATCTTTTCCAAACTCATTAAAATAACATGCAGAACAGTCAATAATTCCAAGTACCTACGTTAATTAAACCGAAGACAAATGACGAGCCAAAAATGTTAAATCTCGATTCAAGATAATGATAAAATGTTTTAATGAAGGTAATTTGTAATGGTTCTTGTCTAAGATTACTTAAATTGAAGACGTACTAAATTTATTTAATGCCAACGATTCGCAAAATGGAAAAGTGCTTCAGATTAATATTTAGAATTTACTGTATTCCACGTATAAACCAGTCATGGTTGGGTGATAAGAATAAAGTATTATGGTTTAGCTAATAATAACACCCATCTATTTTATGAAAACGGAAATTCTAGAAAAACAAAAATATACATATATTTTTCCACATTAGATTCCATATAAGTCGGAAGATTTATCACAAATTTAGTCGATTTGTTATTATGATATAATGCCACACACGAGCGAAAAGCACGTTATCATTACGATGTCTGTTGCTTGCAAACCCTGACTGTAAGGACGCGAATTGGACATGAGTCCTCAGTGCACGAACGTAGATTTATTGATAATTTGGTATTAATAACTATATATATATATATATATATATATATATATATATATATATATATATATATATATATATATATATATATATATATTATATATATATATAACAGAACTTCGTCGTATATTGTTTATTAAGCTCAGTAGCGGGTTTAAATCTCTAGTAATTAATGTATTGTTTTAATACATAACAAGTAATAAAGGTAAATATTTAAACAGCAACCTAAACCACAGGCTTTAGGTAATTAAAAATTTTAATGAGACTATTTATAGGTCCATAAGCTCCATCTTCTATCTATCATCATCATCATCATCGTTCATCATTTCAGCTGTTAACTATTCACTGCTAAACATAAGCCTTCTCCATAAGAGAAGTTTTGCCAGTCGTTGCCACGCTCGGCAGGCAGATTGACAACCGCAGTTAGGCTTTTAGAAATGTTTTAAAAGAGACGCTGTTGCACATCCTTGTACCATTAAGTTCCCATAGTCGCCCCTTACGACACCTACAGGAAAGCAAGGATTGGCCTATTCTATGCGAGAACTACACAGCTAATTATCACTTTCCATTAAATGAATTCGTCCATTGAATTTATTATGTTCAACCACAGAACCCATTAATAATTAAAAAAAAAGTCATTCACATTTTTTTAGCCAAATAAACTAGCAGTCTTCGGATGTTTAGGCAATATGTGTAACTACTACGCAATAAAGTGTTACTCAATTAATATTTCTCAAGTTTTGTTTTAGTTACACAATTTCCAGTATAAGGTAATATAGTATTATACTGCAAAATCTTCATGAAAGCTTTGTAGTGGCAAATCGTTACGAAATTCATCTTAGTAAGTTTGCCTTGTCAACAATCTACTCTCGACAGCTCTTCAACATAAGAGATTCCGGTAACTTTAGTATCTTGTAAACTTATACTGAAAGATACCGATGCATATTAGCTGAATCGATATTATATTTACATACTGTTATACTATTTTGTCGATAGAGTTATCTCTTTATTACTTAACTGATAATATTAAAAAAAAAATCTCCTGAGAATCTAATCTACTGATATCTCTTAAGTCGTCTAAAGTCTTTTAGACTTAGTAAATCACTATCTTTATTTATCCCATTTTGTATATAATATCTAAATTGATATTAAAAAAAAAATGAAAAACTATATACTCCCCGGTGAATTTCCACTATTTTTTTTTTATTTATTTATTCATTAGTACAAATATGTGTACATGGCGGACTTAATGCTAAAAGCATTATCTCCCAGTCAACCATAGGGAAGTGTCAGAATACTCCAATGCGGTACTAGTAATTATTGATATACATACATACTAAAAAGACATATATAAACGAATAAGTATATATAAATAACAAATGTAAATAACAAATATACTTACACATATATGACATATACTATATTATACACGAAATTGAGAAAAATATAAAGCATTTACTGCTCGGATAAAGTAAAAAACTGAGCGTGAACGTTTTAGCTAATATTTGATGGAAATATTTTAATTTGAATCTAACTATTAAAGTAAGCATTTTTTTCTATTTCACTACTATGAACTATACGAGTACATATAATTTTTCATTCATTCATTCATTCATTAATCTTTATTCATATAGTTAATTATTTTATTAAACATTGTGTGTTAAGCTATTCTTTGTCTATAATTCTTATGGTGAAACTTTAATACAACGATAATAAGGTCACAGCTACGTTTAACATGGTTTAGATATTAACTAAAGATTTTACTTATTAAACTACTGTTTAATGTATAAGTGTGTAATTAGCAAAGGTTAAATATGCTGTTAGTTGAAATCACCTATTAAGCAAGTAATTAATACGTAATCCCCCATCTTAGTTCCCTTGGATTTTGTAATAATACTCCCTGTTATTATATACTATGGGAATTATTTGGAATACTTCAAAATTATTATTTTCCGCGCTTATTAGAGAGCAGGTACCCGTAATACTGCGAACAGTTATTAGAAAAGTAAATATCGAAATTTCGCTAAGTAAACGAAACTTCGCTTCTCTCCAAAGATGTTCCTTGTTTGCGATATTCAAATATGATTAGTTCGTCACTGTCAGAACTGTTTCAATTAACATTTAAATTGAACTCAATTTTGGTACAACGAGACTTAATACCTATTGAAAGTTCGAAATTGAATAAATTGTGTACATAAAGGAGGCTTGTTTTTATACACGATTAGCTATTTACTGCAGTTTCATCGCTGTTCCATGAAATTTTCCAAATGTTTTGTTATTGCTCGCTACATAAAGTATAATCAATTTTAGGTTTCTTGACCTAACAATTTCATAAGGGGGGAGGGGGAAGAAATTGTTAGTAATGCGGATTACCAACGCCATTACTAGCAATATACCCTCCCTGGTCGACCTCCACGTGGTCCCCCCTGGAAACCATCGTGCTGCATTCTAGGTGTATTCATCACGATGGGTTAACAAACCTGCCTTTTTATGCTCACGTATCATTCCTTACTGGCGCCCCGCAAGTGTATACCGGTAGCACTGGTGGGATTACCATTCCATTAGCATCCATTAAAAAGAAACAATTTTATGAGCGCATAAATCAGTCAGTCACTTTCTCTTTTTAAGTATCTATTTAAAACTAAATAAAATTATGTTTTAAAGCCATATTGACAGAAAGTAAGAATTATTAATCTTATATTAACTTTAGAAGCATTAGTCTTATATTAATTAACCTCTGTCCCAATCGTGTTTCTGTTGTGAAGCAATTGTTTTTGGATCGATGTGTTTCAGTTTGAAGCATGAGATATGGTAATGAAATTACAGGGTACAGAGGCGTAACACTTTAGTTCTCAGGAATTACAACACATAAGATGTATCACTGTGTTATGTCCATGGTACAGTTTATATCTATAGGTGATGGTTACCACTTTCCATCATGTGGGCCGTCAGCTTGTTTGCCAATAAAAAATTGTAGTTTAAAAAAATATCATGATTATTTATCTACTTTCTATTTTTTCCGTAAAAGATTTTTTGTTTTTGCTTTTGTACAAATATCTCAATATGAGACCATAACAAATAACATAACAAGGGGTGTTCTAAAAATAAATGACATCAAAAATAAATTCTCCCAACATGTAAAATATCGCAAGAATATAGAATATAAATTTCATATGATGCCTACTATAACTATACCAACCAACAATAAAATATATTACGTAGCTTCAATTGCTTTCCAAGTGTTTCTACCGCGTACATCGTTCGTTTACGTGGTAGATTCTATTACTGTAGCAATACGACTGTAGTATGCTAGAGAGCCCATTTGTGATCCTTGCGGTCTACGTAATGAGATGAAAGCGGTAATAATACGCCTCCGCTTATGAATAGCTCCATTTGTCGTACATTTAGAGAATTTTCGAGCATATTAAAGGAATGCCTTTGTAGCGAGAAGTCTTACAGTACTATATTGATGTAATATTTATACAAGTATATATTTAAAATAAGATTGTATATGAAAAGCTCGGTATTAAATATCAACATTTCTGCGTTAATTATTCACTGCTGAACATAGGGACTTTGCTGGTAGTTGCCATGTTTGACAGGCGGGTTAGCAACCACAGTTAGGCTTAGATGATGTTTTAAGTGGGATGCTGTCTCGACTATTAAGTTCCCTTAGTGCCTCTTACGACACCCAAGGAAAAGTAAGGGGTGACCCTTTCTATACCGTGTGTTCCCGGCGACAATTAACGGCTGATATGATTATGATGATGTTAAGGTAAAATAAAAAAAGGTATTATTTATACTTAAGGTAGCAAAAAGTAAATTTACGGTGTATCAATATAAAGTCCATAATTAATACAGTTATCTCGCCATATTGTTTCAAAGAGTTGTTTACTTAAATGAGATTAAAGTTGAGATTCTCACTCTAAATAAGTCTACAAAAAAACATTTTCAATAATTTAATATACAACCAACACAGGAGTAAACTGTATTGTGAAAAAAAAGTTACAAACTGTTAGCAATAGTTCAAATTTAACGATAATATCTCATGACACACGTTGCTTTTTTAATCACTAACTATAATGTATTTAATGTTACTATTTTGATATTATAAGCATATATTCTAAAATAAAATTGGGACATTTTTGGCATATTGCATTAATTTGATGATATTGTATAAAACCATTCTTAAAATAAATTATTTTCATAAAAATCAGTTCATACACGCAAAAAACAATTGAGTTGTCAAAATTCTTCTTTTTTAAAAACAAACGATATACTGCATTCTTAATTTTACAAAATATATAGTTGCGTGCGTCAATAAAATCATAAACTATAAAAAAAAAACTCAGATTAATTACTATATAACTTATTTTATACCTTTGAGAAGAAAAAATCGCTACGTCTTATGCTCTTCTACCACAGTACCGCGTACTGTCATAATCATAAAGAATAGAGATAAAAACGCTGCGTCAGAAACGAGGTTGAATGAAACTAGGAGAATAAAGTAATTTTATGTTATCCTGCATAGACTATGGGAGCAATATATGTACTCCATACTCAGTGACGTAAAACTATGTACTAGATAACTACGGCTGTAAAAATATTATGTGATATATTCACTTTATTGGACCATACCTACGGATAAAATAAAAGAATTAACCTAGTTTGTCGGTTCCGTACAACTTGCGCGTACGATTCGATCATAACTTTAGATTTGTTGTGGCAGAAGTGTACGGATAATGGAACCTGTATAGACATACTCATATTTATATGACATATAGAAATAATGCCTGCTTTTTCTTATTATATCTTCACCAGAGGAAGACTTTGTACATTAGTCATTTTCTTAAGTACTTCTGTCCCATTCGTGTTTCTACCGTGAAGCAGTTGTGTTTGAATGGCTATATTTGCGGTTTGAAGGGTGAGATATGGCAGTGAATTTACAGGGTACAGAGTAATATCATCTTAGCCCTCAGGAATAGCAACGCATGAGGGATATCATGGGTGAAACAGTACTCTCTGTTATGTCCACGATACTGCTCATGTCTGTAGGCGACGGTTACCACTTTCTATCAGGTAGGCCGTCCATTACCATTCTGAGTTGCATAAAAAAATGCATTTGTCTATTGCATGATTATTATCATATACCCATTGTTGCTATTCATCTTGCTTTTATGTAATTAAGTCTATGTAATTAATGATTTATTTTGTTTGTACACGTATTGTTAATGTTTATAATCTATATCATTCTTTGAAAGAAGCAATAAAGAACTTTCATTCATTCATGATAAGCTTTCTTCAACATGCACTTAAAATATTAATCATAAGCTACTCTTGGCGAGCAGGCAGACTTTTGACGTAACAGAATCTGGATGAAATGAAAATATTTTAAACAGTTACGTATTTGGGAATTATTTTTTTGATATTTTTGATGTTAATATGTTTTTTAATATTCAAAACAAGGCTATAATAATATTACGCGAATTATTTGAATTTTGTTTCATTCAGTTTTTATTCAAAGCTGAAACAATATGTAGGTACTCGTACATATTTTTTTTATCGAGAAGTTAACAATAAGTAGTTATAAACTTTATAATGGTGTATGTTTTATCTCAAAAGTTTCAGCTGTTTTAGACTGAAGTGTGGGGGAAAACACGAATCACTTTATGGGAATAGATTTCCGGAGTCTTATAGCACTTTACGGGATCCCACGAGATTTAAAATTGTCAATCTCGCAAATATCGGGATTGATATCTCGTGGGATTACAATCTATGCTATTAGATACATTCTCAATCTTTCAAATAGATACGAAATTTTAGTTGCCTCAAACTTCAAATTTCACCTCAAATCTTCAAATAATTTTAGATTCATGCACAGTGGAAAGTTCCTTTAGAGGTATTATCTAATTTCCCAAAACCGACACAATGTGGCGTCGGTTCAGTTTAAAAATATATATATATATATTATGAATGAATAAATGAATATTTATTTGCAAGAAATATAGTAAATATACAGATAGATAAAATAATATTAAGTCCACATATTTCGCCACAATTAGGCATGCAAAATTTTAAATACTCAAATATTAAATTAACAATTCTTATAACAAAACAAAATTAATAGTACTTTGCCCTTAAGCTCTTATATCAAATTTCATAAACTCGTAACAATTCTTGTAAAATAAATAAAAAGGTATCACAAGCCTGATTAAACTAAATTTAAATTCGATAAAACATCAGAATTGGTTCTGTTTAAATACTACTAATGTAACTTTTATATAATACTGTGTGTAATTTAAATATACTTGTAAAATATCCTATATATAAATCTAGATTACGATCTATATGTCTGACATAATTCATACAAATCTGTTCAGCTATTTCAGTCATTCAGTCTTTCATATTTATCATATTAATGAGATAAATATTATTATCTCGCTCCAATAATCGACTTGTAAATAAAAATATACGTTTACAGAGCATACGTAAAAACGTGTCATCGTCAGATAGATGTCTTTTTATGTCAATACTGCTATTAGTTCAATAACATCACCACGTATGTCTATATGTGTATTCGAGATATCCTTTTTATCTGAAATTGACATGTTTATAAGCGTTCATACTTCGATGAGTCCTCGCTAAGTGCTCGCGTAGACGTAAGTTAAATATTAGCTAAACAGCTTCTTTACGAACTAACTAGGCTAATGTTTGCTCAAATATGAAGCAGACTATCGTGTTTACATTTCTTCGTATAAAATTAACAGCACTATAGACTCAAGAATATCTGTCTACATAACTATGTCTACGTACAATTTAATTGTTAATTTATAACCCGAAGAATGCACTATAGTATAGGCATAGAATAAGTCACCTCTTTTTTCCCGCGGATGTCTTAAGAGGCGACTTATGGAGGGCGAAAGATGGGCAGCAGCGTTCTTCTTAAAATATCTCTAAAGCCTGATCTCGGTTGCCAATCACCCTGCCAAGCATGATAACTACTGCCAATAGCCTCCAAGGGGGAGGCCTATGTTCAGCAGTGGACAGCTGCTGAACATAGGCCTGCTGCAGCTGGCTGATATGATATTTTCTCTTTCATTATAATTTTTTCTCTTTCACTTTGTATGTTTGTTAGTGTCAGCGTAGTAGTTCCTTTTGTAGACACTGTAAAATCAATTATCTTAAAAAAAAAATTAAATGAATGGAATCATAATGTTTAATTATTTATTTCAATTTATTGCCTATTTGAAAATGAAAACTATGAAAACATAAGAGCTTTTAAGCTAAACTTTGTATCTTGATATGTTCGAATCGCATTATTGCGTAATATGGTTCTTTATTTGATTGTTTAATATAATTTAAAATTCTTTTCTCTAGTTACAATTATATGGAAGATATTAATAGAAATAAGAATATATAAAGGAGATTGTAATCAAATCAGGCTACCATTTTATGTAGAATAATAATATAATGCATTAAATAGTTTATTGGATGTATTGAGTCATATACATTAAATAAGACACGCAAACTAAGTCTCTATTTTTCTTTTTACCTTCAGTGGAAGTGACTGGATACAGCGCCGATAACTGCTCAGTGTCATACACGTCGTTCAACAACGAGACGCTAGTCGGCTCAGTGATCCGATCAGCAAGCGTTCTGGTACTGCCTGAAGGTCTACATAGGAGTGACACACAGAGCGCGTATTTCTGTGCAAATGGTAAGTATTTTTTTTTTTTCTTTCTGTAAATAGAGTAGCAATCAAGCATTTTACCGTTTAATTGTAAAGATAATAAGTGTTGCCAGAATAGAACTTTGAATGAACTTTATTAACAATCTTGGGTAAAATTTCTGTTCCCGAAATTTTGGAGAAATGAAATTCTTGGAGAAAAATTAAATAGTTTTGGAGAAATTTGGTTACATTTTTGGGCAATTTTTATATTGATACAATGTATATAAGTATATATATAGAATAAAATATATGAATGGCGATAGCAAAACAGAGAGATAAGAGAAGGAGAGCATAAGAAGGTGAAAGGAACGGAGTGGCCTTGTTTTTGTCTCGTCCTTCACTTTGTGACACATGGCAGAACGTAAAACTTTCGTTATATATTGTATATATAGATATTACAGTGATTGGATTTCATCCAAATCTGGAAATTGTATCGAATTTAAGTAAAAATATTTGACGTTTGTTAAAAATCGTAATTGAGTAACATCAGAATCTTTAGACGCTCATTACTGACTTTTTAACACAAAAATCGTAGGAGAAGGATCATAGTGAGTACCTGATATCCTTCAAAATAGAATAAATAATAGAAACAAGTTGCTATGTGTCGAATTTAATACTTAAGACATACGTACTCATGACACTAATTCTATTTTTTGTCTTTAAGGCATATTGTTATGAGTAGTTATATAATTTTTTTATAATATTTCAAACAAGGTGACGGCCACCTGATGAAAAGTGGTAATCGTCACCTAAAGTAACAACATAATAAATAAATAATAGCCATATCACCTGCCTTTTTTCGTAATTTAGTAAATTATAATGTTCTCTATATAACAATTTAGAATATTAAATTATAGAGTGTATTAAATTTAATGCAATTTCGTTTAGTGGTTTAAACATAATTGAGTGACAAAAATCAAACTTTCATGCTTATTTCATTATAAATATCATCATACCAGTCATCAGTCTACTGTCAAATATAGGCCTCCCATTGGGGAATTTTACTAGTAGTATCCATGTTTGGTAGACGTGTTAGCAACCGCAGTTAGGCTTTTATGGTGTTTAAAAAGGGACACTGGAAGAAAAATATAAATATGTCTTGTATTAATAAATAAAACCGTACAATTTTCAGAACATTTAGCAGTATCATCCCGTGGTTCCTGGGAGTGGCAGTGGGTAGCTGCGCCAAGGAATAGAGCTGGTTTGGTGCTAGAGTTACGGTCTCAGGGTGCGGCCCACGTCGCCTTATCTGCTATAAAGGAGCCATCTGATGATATGTACAGGGTCGTCTTCGAGAGGAGCAGGGTGTGGATCGCTAAAGGGAAACATGGTTAGTTAATTAATTTTATGACATTATTTGATTCGCTGATACATTAATTTTTGCTAATAATCTAATCAGTAATCACTATTCCATAAAATTATAAAATAAAATCCTTGAGCACCAAAAACAATGAAACGAGAACTTTTAAGAATTTTGTAAAAAATGGACAACTTGGACAAAACTAGGTTTTGACGTCCAAATTTTGATTTGGATGTATGTAATAATGTAATATAAATAATTTAAAAATAGTGACATAAACGTGAACAAGATTAAATATCAAAGTTAGTTTTAAATCACTATTCATTAATTTTGGTATTATTATTAATTTGTTTGCCATTTCAAATTGCATTAAAAAATACAAAGTTAGCGAAAATATCGCACAACATAGACACAAAATGGAACGAATAAATTGAGAACTTCCTTCTTGAACCTTTTCAATTGGGTATTTTAATTCAATTTACCTTTCTACCTAATTAATGTCAATTCTTTTATCAAGAGTACCATCTGAGTTCATAATTCTATGCTTCTTATTACAGGATACGACGTACACTTAGCCAGTGCAGAACAAACGGAGAATGATGAAGAATGCTCAGGCTCAGATTCCTGGTGTGCCTGGTGGGTCTGGTGGGAAGGTGGCAGATTGTCTGTCGGACGAGGAGCTGCCCCATCAGAAAGGCGACTCTTGGTCTGGCCTTTAGCGCCCGATATGCGAATAAAATATGTTGGATTCAGCGCTTTGTGGGGTGATAAAGCTGATTTTAGGTGAGTTTGCAAATAAGTAGCTTGTAATCACACCTATCGTCCATATGGTCCCGGTATAGTCCCGGCCACCCCTTCCTTTCCCGTGGGTGTTGTAAGAGACAACTAAGGAAGGGCGAGGGATGGGCAGCAGCGTCCCTCTTAAAACATCTCCAAAGTCTAACTGCGGTTGCCGAATCCACCTGCCAACGTAGCAACTACTAGCAAAACACTCTAGGTGGAGGCTTATGTTCAGCAGTGGGCAGTTAAAGGTTGATATGATGATGATGAATCACACCTATTTAGTTATATTTTAATAACTTCTTTATTATACAATATTATCTTCTATTATATTTTTGAAAAAATAATTGCTTGTTTCTAAACTTTGATAACTCGCACTGCACATTGTAACTTATATGAATTGTAACCTTCATAATACTATAACACGGGTAATTATTCATTACCACTACTACTACATAGGCGTTTATGAAATAAGCGACACAACACGTCGCTTATAGCTTATTAATTAAAGTCAAAGTTTAATAGTACATAGTGGACGCAGACACGAACATATGCTTATAAAGCAATAACTTTTATTATGAACAATACAACAACGAGCATCTGAGGGCATAAATAAAAACAAAAATTGCTAATAATTGTATTATGGCTCTCCCTATAAAAAAATTAAAATATTCTACCTTTCACTAAGAAACATGAGCGAGAATCGAAAGTAACAACAGTAATTTTAAAGCCACAATGAACATAAACTATAATTATAATTTGAAGTTTCGAAAGATCGCTGTTTGTCGACTTCATAATATCTAAATTCAATAAATTTAAAATTGTTTTGCCAGATAAAAATACATATAAGGTAATAGGAAATAGTTCTTAATAAAACATCCGACAATATCCACGTTATAATTAGTCAACAATAGTAAAGTGTAATTTAACATTACATAAGCAATAACTTTTTTTTCAGAATTTGGAACTTCAACGAAGAGGCTGGATTCTCTCAAGTTTTAGAATTGGGTCTCCCACGAGGTGTAGTTCCTGGTTCAGCAAGTGGCACTCTATTAGTTTCTGGTGGTCTACATCTACCCCTGTACAGTTTCCAGACAGATTCAACCGATCAGTGGTCCGAAGTTTGGAGAGATTCTCAATTGTCTGCAGCATCAGCTAGCTTAGCTCCGTTATTAGCTTTAGAACATATTCCACATTTAGTTGATGATAATGAAAGAGAGAAGATTTTGAAAAAGTTACCAGAACAGGTGAATATATTGTATCAATTTTGCATTAATACTATTTATTTGTAACAGTTGTAATAAGTGTTATAAGAAGTCGAAGAAAAAGGCTAATAAATGTTTTCTAGCAATTTAGTAATAAACAGTAAATAGTCGAAATGTTGATGAAGATTTTTTTTTAAACCAAATTATTTGAGAAATGCTATAACAGTTCTATTTTTCTCATCTTAGTAATATAATACTAAAAATGATGAACCAGTAATGATAATTTATAATTTTCTTATAATTATTTCCTTATAAACTACATACAGTATTTAATATATGGCTTGTATAAATTAATAAATATTATAATTTATTTTCAGGTTCAAGTACTCCTCTCATTTCGCAAAACCGACAATTCATTTAGCGATCATCCGGCAATGAGCAGTCATTTATCCACAATCAAAATCTTAGAAATCTTAACCAAAATACAATCATACTACCCAGTTGATCCAGATTTACTCCAAAATATCAAAAAATGGATCCAATCTCGCCAAAATGACGATGGATCCTTTACACCGCTGGCTGCTGATAAAGAAGTAGATTACTATCCAGTTGAAATAAAGAAAACTAATGGAACTGAAAAAGAAGTCGATGTTAATGAGTATTATTATTATGACAAAGATGGGAATATGACAAAGGAAGAAATTGAATGGGAAAGAACAGTAGAAGTTACAGCTGAGACATTGGTTGCTTTATTAGAAGTTGGTGTAGAGAGTCAGGTAACAAGTTTTTAATAGTACTAGAAATAGACAAATCTTTATCTACACGACTAAAAAGGCTAATTTGCAATATCCAAAAAATATTAATCATAATGACCTAAGGAAAAAGGATTCACAAATGATAATAAAAAAAAAAATTACTTTTATCTCTTATTTATCTTATTCTGAAAAATATAAATAATACAAATGTTGTACAAATTTTAGATGGATGCTGATATTGCAAAGAAAGCTCAAAGTTATTTGGAGAAGAACCTAAACAATTTGACATCCCCTGCTGCCTTGGCTGCTACTGTATTGGCTCTAGTACTTGCAAGGTACGTTTAAAGTCAATAAAATAAATTACTGTGCACTCGTATTTGTTAAGTATACATTCTTTCTAAACTGTGAGAGTTACAATCGTCGTCATCAACTCGCATCCATAACATGTCACTCTCCTAAGAAATCCTATTAAGCTAAATTACAAAACTGTTAGAAATACGAAGTCGTTTTTAATTTACCTTTTTGCGATATACAATCTATGTGATCATAATTAATAAGTACAGATCTTCAGTCTTTAGAGTACTCACTATTCATGTCCATAAGTGACCTTTTTAGCCATTGCATCAACTGCCTATCTTATATGCCTCTATTATACTATAAATTATGTAATATCTACATTACAGAAGTCCAATAGTGCCAGAAGCATTGGTGATCCTTAGAAATGCGTCGACGACAGAAGAAGGTGAGTTTGGATGGCCGGCTCCAAGAAAAGACGCTGCTGATTGGCTGCTTGAAGAAACATCGAGGAATATCAAAATTACTTCTTATGGTATGAAAATTACCTTAATAATAACATTTTATATAATTTATGTTATATATAGTTTATAATACGTTAAGTTATTAATTAATTTTGAGTGCTTCAACTCAGTTGACTGACGCTTGATTGCGGTTCGGGGAGCCCAAAGTCAAATCCCAGGCTAAAACGTCTGATTTTTTAAATCAATGTTAAAAATTATTCACTTGCTTTATTATTTGGGAGGTATGTAAAGATGTCGTTCGATATTAAAAGTCTTTATATAAAAAAGAGGAAGCATAGAAAATCTTAACATCACCCAAACATTTCACGAGGAAAGAAAAAAAGAAGTGAAAGTGTTCGTTTCTTTAAGTAGTATAAAATAAAATTGTTATCCGCATCTGCCTGTTTCTTGGCTTACTTCTTTTAATCATACCACAAATTTTGATATGGATTTCACAGACATTTAGTTTTTTATTAAAGTTTTGTATATATTTTCTTCTATTTAAAATGACGATTTTAAAAACTTGTCAATAAGTTTATTTAAATAAAGTTTATTCCTATTTTATTCTGCAATGTATAACCTTTTGGATAAGTAAATAATAGGGCCAGTATAGAGCTAGGACGGATTCCTATAAATATTAATAAATTAATTATTGCATTTACAGAAGCAGTAACAATGGAGCAATACGTGGCTGGAGTTCGTGTACTACTAGCGGCTTGTGCTCGAGGTGCACTTGCTGAAGGGGAAGCAGCCGCAAGATTCTTGTACTATCGAGCATCTACATTACAAAGGCATCCCAGTTTGGCATACAGTGCCACTAAAGCGGCAGCGCAATATGCAGCACTAGCGCATGATAGGTAAATGTGGTATTTTTAATCGATAAAAATGAAATAATAATCATGTTTGTGCTATTAATTTACGCTGGTGATATATTAGTGAAAAATAGGTTAATTCTAAGTAAGATGGTCCGCCGTGAGAAATTCAAAATTATTCAAAATTTAAGCGTATAGAAATCGACTTGATAGCAATGAGCCCGTTTTTTCCCCTATAAATAACAATTGACAATCATTATTTAATTTAGTATTGGGAACCTTAGATGCTTGCTGATTTTATTTATTTATTGTTAATTTTGAAATGAAGGCCAATTATGAACATTATTATCATACTAGAAATAGTAACAATTCTAAAGTTTTTGGGAGGTAAACATCACATTTGTCACTCTATTGTCATAAATATGCATCTTTACTAATACTTAAATGTAAAAGTATGTTTGTTTATTATCCCAGCCCAAAGCTTTAACGACTGAAGCGATCGTCACTGAATTTAGCATACACATTGTATTTGGAATAGAGAAATACATAGGCCACAAATTATCCCAGTCCTTACCCTTATCCTGGTCACTCAGACGAAGTCGTAGGAACTAGTAATAATCCTTTTTATTCCTAATGTAAGCATTTTACTCTTATTTTACAGGCATCGAGCATTAACAGTGTCTCTCGCTACAGCGGGAATGGAATTAACGGATACTCTAGAGCTCCGAGCTCGCACTCCTCCCAGACAACTTCAGTTACCTGGGTTGCCTACTAAAGTATTTGTGTACGCCACAGGAGCTGGATGTGCTACCGTGCAGGTAAAGACCTAATAACTAACTGATCCGGCAGTCTATCCAAAATCCCTTTCTCCTTTCTCTAAAATATATGAAAAAATAATTAGCCGAATCAAACATGTAGAATTTTTGTCAATTTCTCTGCCCCATGCCTAATTTTATACTAAGAAATAAGTTATCTCCTTTTAATAAATGGTACAGAATCCCGCTAGTTTATTAGGCTTCATTTACTTTTATCTACCTTTTGCTTTTTTTATACTACGAAGTTAGCAAACGTGCATACAGCCAAGTAAATGGTCACTGTAGCCTATGGTCACCTGTAACACTAGATGTGACATGTGTACGTTACGGACCTTGAAGAAATCCTTATAAACCCCTTTTTGAAGAGCCCTATATTATAGTCTGTAGGGAAAATCTCGACAGGAAGCTCATTCTACAGCCAATTCACTGGAAAAAACTCATTTGAAACCGCACTGTACGTAACCATTTAGGTTCAAGCGTGTGAGGATGAATTCCCTATTGATAGCAAGCAGTGCGATGATAAAAGGTGCCTGTGGGCATCATTTCAAACAATTCTTTAAAACACAATCCGTTATAAAAGCGGTAGTACATACAAAGATAGGCAAAGTTTTATGCCTGATTTAGGTCAACTGATTTATAAATAGAGATAATAACAACTAGCTCAAATTTATTATATATCACCTAAATGTCAATAAAGTGTATTCTATTTAAAACAAAATACTCTAAAGAACATTTGAAGGTACTATATAACTTAGCGTTTACGTTTACTATTATGGATTCATATCAGCCTTTAACTGTCCATTGCTAAATATAAACCTTCCCTTAGGAGGTTTGCCAGTAGTTGCCACGCTTAGCAGACGAATTAGTAGTCTTACTATACTATTATCCCAATATTTTATCATAAACAAACTTTATCATATTAGTATGATTTCCTAATAAATGTAGCTCAAATTGTATATCAATTTTACTGCTACCATTTAAAACGTCTTTATTCTTGCTTATAATTTCTTCATTTCAGGGAACGATATCATATTCTACGTACACACCGAAACCGGAGAATGCATTATTAAATATTCAAGCTGCTATAATTGAAGAGATCAGGCCTGAAAGGAGTAGTATAGAGGATTTACAAGGCAACTTGCCCACTTTGATTATCAAGACCTGCTTCAAGTAATTCTTTTTATGATCAATTTTTTTAATATATTGAGTAGTTGTCCTGATAGTCGCTGTGCCTATTTAAATTACAATCTTTATTGTCTTAGTGCTAACTGATATCTAATAAATTATTTTTGGTGTAACGAATATTATCATAATAAAGAGACAAATTTCAATTTTAATTTACTTCCGTTCTTATTTAAAACTGCAACCCACTGTGATCGTTAAAACTCGTTTAATATCATTATTAGGTACAGGATTAGTGTGCAGGCTATTAAAAAAATATATGTTTATAGAACCTTCTGTTAGATTTACTTTTAAAATCACATTTTTTTTCAGATGGAAAGGAAAAGAACGTTCTGGTATCCTACGATTGGAATCCTCACTATTTTCCGGATATGAATTGCATTCCGTCAATCCTGTAGTATTAGACGGGGCCACTTTTGCTGATTTACATTATGGTTCAAGGGGCGAATCTGTTTGGTTCGTTTTTGCTAATGTGAGTATCGCTATTTTATGATTTCCTACTTATAATAAAAAAACTATAAGAACTATTTTTTTTTATATATATAATAACTATGGTGAGTGCTGATGCTAAATTGTAATTATTACATTTCAAAATAATATTGAATATAATTGAAAGTATAAATTTAAAATTTTACCAGCGTAACTCTATTGATTTGAATATTAATAATTGTCTGTACTATGTTATTATTATGAATTTTCATTAAATATGCTAAAGATGATTAACTAAATTCAAACATGATATTGCAGATTAGTTCAACGTGCCCAGTATGTGTAACTTATGAAGCAAGGTCCAAATTCATCATAACTAGTTTACGACCCGCATTTACCAAGATTTATCCATCAACTCGGCCAGACTTAGCTGTTGAATCTTTCTTCCATGCAAGACCAGGAAGTCCTCTACTTAGAGGTATTACTGATGATGATTTTATTACGTGGTTTGATAAAACTGAGCTCGCAAGTCTCAAAACTACAACGAACATTGATAACATTTGTGAGTGTGGACGTATTTGTAGTCGAGATTATGAATTTAAGAAACATATTAAAATGAAACATAATAAAGCCTCTTCTGGTACAGGTATTGAACCTACTAAAACTCCTCAAAGTCTTAAAGTAAAAGAAATAAAAGTAACTAGTACACCAATAAGCATGATTATAAATACGACTCAAAGGCCAACACTTGCTGAAATTATAATTTCTACTACTAAAACCATCTTGACTACGTCTACTCCTCAAGTCATAGAAGAAATTGCAACCACAACAAATAATGTACTAAACAACTCAACCCTAGAAAAACATACTGATGATCCTATTATTATTCCTACTGTAACTTATATAAATAAAACTGACATTTCGAAAGTCGATAATAATATTGTGCCATTAGTACCCAAAATTAATGGAGAATTGATAGTGCAAAAAATATCTGCGCCAAAATTAGCCTCAAAAAATGAAGATATTAAGAAGAAGCCTCTTCCAAGACGCAAGGGTACTCTCAAAGCTGTTTATGGTGACAAACAAGAGAAATTCTTTTTAAAAGCAAAAGCAGTTACTAATAGTTCAATGATTCATAAGGGCATTATAACTAAACTAAAGACAAATAAATTGGTCGTTCATAATGAACATATTGAGAATAAGACAGCAGCAGACAACAATCAAACAAAGATTTTTCTAAAAACTGAGAAAACAAAAACTCCAGAAGTATTTCATAAGAATGATACAAATATAAGTCTATCTCACGATTTTCATACGGAAACGACATGCATGCCTCATTCGATTGCAGCTATTACAAATAATAATATTAAGACAATCCACAGAATAAAGAAACCAGAAATAATTAATCAAATAAATAAACCTATCATGCATTTGCATTACAACGTAACAAACGATTCTAAAAATGATACTGTACATTCTGAAATAAAATTAAATAAAACGAAAATGAAAAATGTTAATCCGGATAAATACATTACGAAGACATTAAAGTCGATAAATAAGGAAATACACAAATTACCTCCGACGCCTATTTCCGAAACGTCAAAAATTTTGACAGATCCACCTAAATTAGATATCGCGCCAGAAAATAGGGGTGGCTTCGAGATATTGGATAAAAATAATATATGGGAGCTTCTCAAAGAAGGTCCAAATGTTGACGTTCCAAAAATAGAAGATAAGTTACAAGTGCATAACAGATTAAATGTATTAACACAAAATGTGTCAAATACAGCACAAATCGGTAATCGTTCATTATAAACTTTATTGTTATGTAATATATAAGACACAAAGACTTCAGTAAATATTTTTGTAACACATTCACGTCACGATACCTGTACTGAATTATAAATTGTTAATATTCAAAATCGTAACACAACAATTCCTAAGCACACTAATTGTTGGTTGTTAGAATGATGTACTGCACTTGTTTGTGTAATTTATTAGTTACGATTGGGTGTTTGTAAATAATAAAATAAGCTCTAATATAAATCTAATTTTAAGACATGCGCTGTGACTACCATTGTGTGTTTTATACCCAATTGCTCAAATCCTCGATTACTTTTCCTCATTTAATGTTTCACTGAAGTTTTATTACATAGTAATTTAAGTAATACTACATCTCGCTTGAGTAGATTTAAAGAGATTATAATGTTATATTATGAATAGGGTATAACAGAATGCCTTTAAGTGATGGCATTGTCATATGAAAAGAAATAGTAGCTTGATTTCAACGCTTGAATGAACGTAGTAAATGCAGAAATAAATTTAGGAGTGCTAGAAAAGATGCAAAATTTAGTGCGATAATATTGGATTAATCTTTCTTAAACAATTATTTCAAAAAATATTTTTACTGGTTGTTTGGGTAGCTCTTAAATTAAGAAAAATGATTTTTTATAATATAATTACCTAGTTGTGTAAATAATTTTACACGAGTTGCCAAATCGTAAATTGTATACCTTTACTAGTAGATTCTCCTGCGTTCTTCTAGGTAATAATTATTTACCCTATAGTATAAATAGTGAAATCTAGTGTTCTATAGAATTATAACTTAATGCTAATGCCCCAGAATTTCCATCCGTCTAATCTATCGTCTTCTGTATCTATTATATGTAAATTGTAGTATCTTACTGTAGCTGTCTAGATGTCTATCCATTTGCTTTTAAATTGTAGATAAGAAACTTCATTGTTCTTCAATTGATTTGCAAAATTCTCTGCAAAATTATTTTTATTTTTTCTTAACTCTGTTATATTTAAATATAATTTATATTTAAAAAAATCTACATATTACTGTCTTTCTTATTACTTCTTCTTGGTATTATGTTCCTGTGTTCCTTAAATTTTAGTTAATAATTTTCTTTTAGAGAACTATCCATCTTAATTCTTCAATAGCATCTTCCTAAACTAATAATTGTAAAAAATATTGTTAATTTACAATTTCATTTCTAATAGTTATACATTAAATATATAAAGATTAAAAAATCATTCAAATGATGTCTTTTTATATGAGATTTTCTTACAACATTAATTATTCAATTAGAATATTAAAACAATAATAGTATATTATAAATATATGTCTTATTAATTCATTTGATATATTGAGTAATGAAGTACAAGTTTATTATTTTGATGTTTCTGAAAGTCTATGTGTTGTATATTTTCAAACAATAATTATTATTTTCAGTTGTTATCAATAGGTACTTAAATTTTATGAATAAGTCAATATTTTTTGGTAAATAAAATTTTTTATTAATAAAATAATTATTATGTTTACTTTAAAAACTAATGAATCGTTTCCAACTTTTTTTTACTTTACTAACAAACTAATATAGATAAATATAGATAAATGTTTGCTTCCTTAGTTTTATAATCAATTTATTTTTCAAATTAAATATTTTTTTTTTTGTATAGATTTTTAATAATATTTGAACACGTTTCTAAATATGTGTAAATGTACGGTTGTAAGAAACTAGGTGCTTGTGCAAAAGATCTCGTCAATTTAAATTGTATAAAGCATCCGACGGTATAGGATTAGTTATAAATGAAATTAATGTTTGTGCTTATGGATAAGTTAGTCACATATTTAAGTATAAAACTTGATGTACTGACACAGATTTAATTAATAGGAGAGATAAAGTGATAACACCTGAATTTAATGTTTTTATTGCTATTACCCTTTTTGAAGAATACATCGAGTATAATGATAATCTTTAAAAATTAAACAAACTAATTATTGAAAATTATTTATTATTTATTCATTAAAAATAATTATAACATTATAACAGCAAAAGCCAAATCAATGTTATAAATCTAGTGTGCTAACATACAAAGTTATAACAAATGTATTTAACCCGACTCTAGATATTTCTGAGCCGCTTCTAATATCTTTGGCAGACTACTACTAAATATATCAATGATGTTTATAATATTATTTTATAACCGTACTGTGTGAGTTAAGGGCGCGTGCTGAAGTAGGTTAGTTCTTACTGGTGGGACACTAAACGTAACCGGATGACGACGCGCGCTAACATAACCATTCGGTACTCGTAGATAACAATTTTGAATACGTAGAATTTATAAGTTTAATCAAACTTAAGTCTAATAAGAGAAAAAAATTATGATGAAATGTTTAAGCTATGAAATATATATTGTTAAAGCTTTATACAAAACAATACGTACACAATACACTTTTTTTACACCACATGACATTTCGTTTCTTTGTACACCACATTCACGCAACACTACACACACAAATAATACATACTTTTATACTAATTATTGCTGAACTTCCAGTGATGCGACGTTTCAAATAAGTATGTTCACAGATTTAATTTTTTGTATTTTTTTTTTCTATTTAATTTAAACAAAAATAAGCATAATATTGTTTACTATACAAATTGGGAATCTGTAATTGACTAATGTATGGTGTAAATATAATATTTTTAATTATTCTAGATATAAGCTGTTGATTCCAGATGTAATATTAAAATAAAATAAGAGTCGAGAGAATAGAATAGATAAAAGAAAAAGTAGATACTGGATGTATTTCCAGTTTACAGGCCCTTAATTTTATTCAACTTTAAAGCCTACAGTCCTATTTTATGACGTCTTTTTCAAACTAATTACCTCTCATACATATTAACAAAAAGAGAGAAATTAAGGAGAATTAATAATTAGCAGAAAAGCTGAACGATTTCTAATTTAGGTTCGGCAAATACAATTTAGATAAATCTTGGGATCTATTCCATTAAAATTTTTGAATTTATAAAAAACATGTTATGTACAATATCCAAGGTAGGTATTACAAACTTGACAAATCAGCTCCTTCTGAACAGAGTACAAATGAATCTACCAATAGAATTGTTTTGGTCAGCGCTCACTTTTTTTATGCAACTTATAATGGCAAACAAACTGGCGGCCCACCTGATAGAAAGTGATAACCGTCGCCTATATACAAATATATTTTATAAACGGTACGATGGTCATAACAAAAAATACTGTTTCGCTCATTAACCTATCCCATCTGTGTACTTTGCCTCATCACTGTGTAATTTAATATTTTTTGCTCAATCAAGCTTTAGCGGCTGAATGGATTTGCAAATAATTCGATTCGATATAAAAATAGACTATACAGTAACATATAGGTACTATTTCAATCAGACAAAACGGCGAGTGTTTAGTAAATATACTGTCTAATGTCATTGATCTTCTCTTTTCTTTTTCAAAGGAAGCTTACACTTACAATATTTCTATTCAGTGAGTTGGAATTATGTTTGCTGATTTCATTACAATGTGTACCAGTTAAATTTGTTTCTTTTGTACTAAATTTTGCTAAGGAATATTAAATCGCTCATGCGTACTATGTACCTATCCGTATTTGAAGTTCTGTATACTTTTGTGAATGAAGTGATTGTTCCAATAAATGTTCTTTGTTTTTTTTTTTTATTTCTTTTAATCAAAGTTCAACGAGTTGGGCTACCTGCCTGAATATTCGAATTTATGAATTAAATTAAGCATCTACAAGTATTTATGTATAAAAAAAGTTTAATACCTACTTATTCTAAACAAGATTTATTGTTTTCTTGTCTTTTTTTATCTCACTAGCTTTTATCCGCGACTTCGTCCGCGTGACCGGACTATATCCACTCATCAGGAAACAATGTAAATTATGTCCTTCTATGTCCTATACAATACGTGTATAATAAATTCCATATTGATTGGTTAACTGTTAAAGCGCTAAGACATAATAAAAAAAACGAACTCGTATTAATATAATTGGTAATCATTTCCGACATTATCTCACTCTAGAAAGATACCAATATTGTCAATGTCTAAAAGTTATTACGTATGCCATGAGTAGCACAGTATTATTCTTATATCCATTATGTTTATAAGTCACTCAAAAAAAAAAAAAAAAAATTTCGAGTCAACTTCGATAAGAAGGGATATTTTTATTATAATTATATTTTATGTAATAAACGAAGTCTTCACCGACACTAAACTAATTTCGACGATTCTTTTTGTATTCGATTAATTCTTGTATTGTTTTTTAAACAAATACCATTGATGTCGATCGATATGTAAAATAAAAGGTTTAAACTAATATTTAATCTATCCCTAGTATGTAAATATGAAAGTACGGATAGGTGAGTAATCTATTCGTCCAGTTCGCCGTGTGATTCCGGCATAGAATAGGCCACCCATTTTTTTTCATGGGTGTCGTAAGAGGCGACTAAGGGAGGGCGTAGGGACGGGCAGCAGAATCCCTCTTAAAATATCTCCAAAGCCTAACTACGGTTACCAATCCGCCTGCCAAGCCTGGCAACTACTATAAAAACCCCCCAAGGAGGAGGCTTATCTTCAGCAGTGGACCATTAAAGGCTGAAATGATGATGATGATTATGATTCGTCCAGTTATCCTCTATATGTATTATATGTATATAGTATGGCTATACTAAATCGATTTATATGAAATTCGGTTGAAAGGAGGTCTTGAGTGCAATGTAAATATAAAAAAAAGTTGCTATAATTAATCCGATAAAAACTATTTAGCTCTCTACCATCATTTCCCAAGTCCACTTTCACCAAGTTAAAATTATTATAAAAAAATCATTATAATCGGTTGAGCGCTGTAGAGAGTAACATGTATTTTTTTATATATCGAATAAATAAATTAATAAACAGATTTTTTTTAAAAGAAACATATATTGAAAGCAAAAAATTTTAAATTTTCGTAGAAAGTTGGGACCGCAAAAAAGTACTCTTTTTTTAATGGGCCAAAATGGATGGAATGGTAACCCCGCCTGTGATAGATGATTGGTGAAGATGACAACAGGTCAGTTGGCCCATGATGAAGAATTCAACAAGAGTTAATCACGATAGTTTCCAAGGGGAACCGCATGGAGGTCAACCTGATAGGTTTTATACTAGCAATGCGATTATTAGAACCCATTACTAACAATCCCTTTTCCTTCTGCAAATACAATTTTCAATCTATTCGTCTAATATAACGTTATCAATATAGCACGTCGAGCTGTTAAGTTAATAAAGCGGGATTTAAATCTTTTTGTTGATATTCGACTCATATTTCTTTGAAAAATGTTGTTTGATCAGTATATATTTTATTAACAAAACAATCTCTCGAAGGGATGCTCTTTCGATTTTACCTTGAACGTAATGGGGAATCAAATAAAACAAACAATTAAATATTACGTTTTCTCAATTGCTTGTATTCATAACATTACAATGATGTCACAGATATATCTACAATCATTTTACTTTCCTTTAAATACTGTTTCAGAGTTACAGAAAAGAAAACTAACGGAAAGCATTATAAAAAAACAATTGTACTCAAAACAATGTAGTACAGTGACACATTTCAATTAATGGAGAGTAAAAAAATATTGAATCTTACACAAATATCGTCATATAAATTTGGCAAATATATATATAAAAAAATTAACATAACATATAAGGAAGAATTACGAATTTGTAACATGCAAATTTGATACTGCAACTGTATAACTTACTATCTATAAGATTAAAATTAGCACAATAATGTTTTGCTAATGATCCGATAATTATAATATTACAACAAATTAGAGCTAAATACATAAATATACTGCTTTGTGCAATATACATATATTGAGATGTTTATTTGGTAATGTTCCATTGTTTCGTTAGAAAAGATGAAAAGTGGGTGAATTCTCTAATGAGCGTTTACTACCTCTTTAGCTATTGCACGAATTTATATAAATATTATATTACCATGTATAAGAAGAACTGAGAGAAATTCTATTAATTAATTAACTGATCGGCACGAGAATGTATACAATGGTTGATCACGAACATTGATTAGTGATTTTTATGATAGATCCCGTACTGTTGCACCCCTCATCTCCTCCTGGCGTACGACAGCCACGCTGGTAAGTCCGGTTTCTGGAACAGAATATTTAGTTTATTTATTTAAGGGATTGTTAGTAATGCAAATAATATAGGATTTTTTTTTATACAACTTAGAATGGCAAACAAGCTGACGGCCCACCTGATGGAAAGTGGTAACCGTCGCCTATAAACATGAGCAGTACCATGGACATAACAGAGTATTTTGTTTCGCTCATGATACCCCCATGCGTTGCCATTCCTGAGGACTGAGGTGTTATTCCTCCGTACCCAGTAAATTCACGCCATATCCCACCCTTTAAACTGAAACACAGCCATGCAAACACAACTGCTTTACGCTTGAAACACGAATGGGACAGAGGTACCCAAGCAATCGACTTTTGTACAAAGTCTTCCTCTGTATTATTACTATTATATAGGCTAAGACTTTGTGTAAGATATCACTTATTTGAGTATCTTAGATAAGACAGTGGATCTACATTTAATTATACTGCCACTATGAATTCGAAAAATCGACGTTAATTAATAAATAAATTTCTAATATTTAATAGACAGATACTCTTTATTGTTTCCTCAAAAAAAATTACAGTAGTAAATAATTATAATTGTATTTATAAAATTTGCACTTCTTTATTTTTCTAATCTTTACAGATAAAGTACATTTAACGCAAATATTTATTACGTTTATTTTGTTCTACGAACATAAACTTTATTATCAACGCCATATGGAAAATGGAGGACTATAAAGTTAAGAGTACTCAGCGTCTTATGTATTTAATAAATTGCATAATTAAAATACAACTTGAATACAAATTGCTTAACGGAGACGTAATATCAATGCTCCGTACTTAATATAGCTTAATGAATTTAATATCGTCGCCTACAGATAAATTAATATAAGCACGGCCATTAGGAAACTGTTTCTGCTATATTTACAGCAGAAATTAATAATTATACAAAAATACCGAATTACAAAAAAAAAAATTAATCATTTTGAACAGTTAATTTTGGTTGAGAGCGTCCTTATAGCGATCAAATTGGAGATACCTTCATAGATTAAGATCCTGATGAAACTTGGTTCTTATGAAAGATTAATGAAAATATAGCATAATAAACCGAGTTGCCTAGCGACAATTAGCTGCTATTGCCTTTAAATAGATGTTAAATCAGAACTGCACGTAATCTATGATTTTAAATGACGTTTAAGTGACATTTAAATGGGATAGTTAAAGAACGTGGGAAGAACGAAATAACAAGGATTTATTATATATTAAATAATATAGAAGTCTAAACAATATTTTTTGGAATTTGTTCCTAATTAAACTGTCTGTCTCTAAGTTTATTCAAGTATCATGCAAAAACTACCGCACCAAATTGAATGTGGTTGTTACATATTATTTTAATATTTGCGGGCAAAAGCTAATTAAATAACAGAATCACAAATCTGAATAAAATATTCTCTCTGTTTGTCCGAACCAATCTCGTAGGCAAATAGACATATTACACATTGATTGTCTTATTGTTTCCTTATATTATTCTATCTCCGTATCGAAATAGTTGTCAATAAAAGGCCCTTGAGACGCTCCGAACGCTACAAACGCGTAAATTGTATCTTAAATCCAAGCCATTTTAATCATTTACGCGAATGGATTGAAAGTTTTGTCAATTAAAATTTACAGGTTTGAAACTTCTTTTTGTTTGATGAAATTATTTTATTTGTTTTAAATTGGTTTATTATCAATTTACGCGGTATACAGATTCATATTATCATTTAAAGAAAATGTATTCTAGTTTTTAATTTAACTTTAAAAGAAACTAAGATAACTAAGATCCCGTTTGATATGATGGAAAATGGTAACGATCGCATAAAATAGAAAAGCATTGTGCTTATCATAAATATACTGCCATTCTAAGGATTTAGGTGTTATGTTTTCAAAACCTTGTATATTTACAACAAAACTTACCGAAAAACTTGAAAAGATAACCTAGTTTTGTTTAATTTATTACAGAAATACTCTCTGAATAAAATTAGTAACAAATTGTTTTTTTTTTCAATCAATTTTAAATTTGTTCTACTATTAGTATTGTTGGTACCGTGTGGTCCCAGCACAGGAGGGGCCACCCCTGTCTTTCCCGTGGATGTTGTAAGAGGCGATTAAGGAAACTTAATGATCGCAGAATAGGCAACAGCGTACATCTTAAAACATCACTAAAATCCTAAGTGCGGTTGCCAACCTGCCAAGCATGGCAACTATTGTCAATATTCCTTCTTATAAACGAGGCCTATGTTCAACATTAGACATCAGCAGACTGTCTTATGATCAGTTCAGTTCATATTTTCATAAATAGTTCAGTTTACTTTTAAAACAATTTTTGCAAAAAAGTAAAAATTTAAAGGGAAAAAGAGTCTATTTAAGTACATATATCCTGTATTCTAATTCAATATTTGATAAACAAAGTGTATTCTAAATTAATAAATAGAATACATTTATCCTTGCTTAAGCAGATAAAGCTGCCGACTGCAGCTTGTTATAAATTTTATGCATTCATATCGTTATAGTTATTCAATATTATCGCAGTCTATATAAACCACAAAGAGGCCAATATGAAGGGGTGTATATTACGCCAATAACCTTTCAAGTATCGACGCCAGTATCCAGGGATTTACACCAGATTTTATTGGTTTATCAAAGGACCCTCCGGGATGAATAATTTACTCGTCGCATAAACCGTTATACATTTATTCAGTTCGATGAATAGACAGTTGGAGTAAAAGATGAGAATTGAAGTAAATCCAAATTTGATTACGAATAGTTTTAGTTGGTATTGTTATATATAGAACTACAATGTCTAGAAAGTTTAACAAGTGAATAATGTCAATGAAATCATGTTGATGCAAGTTAGGTATTTAGTGCTAATGTTTTAACTTGAATGAATTCTAAGTTTCTTTACAAGAAAACTTTGTTAAGGCCCTTACATACATATTACGATGTCCGAAGTAAAGCTAGCGAATGATTTCATAAAAAAAATATAGATAATAAAATATTTCGTCAGCTAGAGTCGATTGACTTCGTCTATACGGGCTCATTAAATAGTATAACAACGAACTCTACCCATATCATATTAAGGATTATTTTTAAATAACTTCAAATCGAAATGCAGCAGTGCAAGCGCAACTGGTTAATGATAAAAATACGAAATGGAAATCAAAGAGCGCAAACATCTTTTGTACCAAACCTACTTTCTTTTAATACAACTTATAATAGCAAATATGCTAACAGCCCACCTCATAGAAAATAGTAACCATCGCCTATAGACATTGTTAATAACGAGGACTGCCAGTCCTATTGCTAGCATTATACTCTATCAAGTCGACCTCCACGTGGTCCTCCCTAGAAAACATTGTGCTGAATTCCATGTGTTCATCACGATGGGCTAACTGAAAGCGTATTCCATTAGTGCAAGCGGGGTTACCATTCCATTATCATCCATTAAAAAAATACATCACAGAATACACTGTGCTACTCATGGTATTTCTCGTGTATTATCCTTCTTGAGAATGAAATTATGTCTCCATACCTTATAATTTTACTACCATATACCTTTCAAACTGAGACATAGCCATTCAAGTCTGTTTCACGACAGAAACACAAGTGGAAATATGACCACCAAGCAAACAACTTTTGTACGACCTCCCTTGTATATATCTAGTATCGAGTAACAACAATATAGGAACATGTTACTCACTTCAACATCCTTGGCCCAGTTTGTGAACGCATCCGAACGTTTGCCGAACCTGGGAACAAAATAATTTTAATATTAAATAAACGTCACTAATAAATAATCCATAAACATCACAATAAATTAAAAATAAGGAATGAAAGGGATGTCTCATTCTATGCTGGAACCACACGGTCTAGTTCTAGATTTAATAATATTGATTTATAAATGCATTTATTCTTTATTTCTAAGCTATACTTGTATGCATTGTAGGTCTTGAAGACCTTTTGTATGCCTTTTCTTTCATCCCATTTTCACGTATTAATACCTATTATTTTTTATCTATATCTTTCATTCGTCATATTTTACATCTTTTTTCCGGCTTATTTTCTTTCACCATTCTTTTTTCCTATAAATCCTTTTTGCTTTTCAGTGTAATCCTATTTTTTTATAATAAGTACTAATGTCGCGCTGGTAATATTTGTCTTGTATTTAAATATTATAAATAGAAAAGATTTCATTTTTAATTTGTAACGGATAAAGTCAAAAATTCTTTAACCTTTAACCTTAAAAATTCTTTCATCTTTAGAAAGCTAAATATTTAACAAGAAACATATGTGATACCTATATTATTTAAAAAAATATATCTACTTATGCGAAGCCGGGCTGGATTGCTATTGTAATATATACTAATTGAATGATACATAATTAAAAATAGCCCCACAAAAAAAAAAAGACTTCGATTGTGACCCGTTGTTTCTAAAAACTAAAACTGCAAAACAAATTTTGTTAAATTTTCTATGGGATCAATCTATTAGTATGATCTTTACAGATGAAAAAGATTCTCCCAAATCGATTTAAACCTGACGGACTTATAAGAACTTATAATTATATGAAACATAAAAACAACACGGCTGAATTGAGAACCTTCTTTTTTTAAGTATGTTAAAAATACGGTAGAATGAAAAAAGGCGTATTAAGTTTTCTCAAGGATCGGCAAAGCGCGCGTGATATCCCTGTTGTTCGTGTCACAAGCGTCATTAGGTTACGGTAACCCATTTACCATCAGACAGGCCACATGCTTGTTCATTACTATAGTTATATAAAAAAACTACATAGTGTATATCAAATTATTTAACTTGTTCCTATACAGATAAGCATGTTACATTTCTAAAGGAATCTTACACGTTTTGAAAACGATTTCCTTTCTGGATTTTAAAGCAAACAAATCTAATTTTCGACTAAAGTTGTGGAGGCTTGATGTAAATAGTTTTATTGGATTTATCAAAAGGGTTATTTGTGAGAGACAATTTAAATATACCAGGTAAGGTCAATCAAGGGAATTTGATTATAAATAGATGGATTAATATTGTAATAATTTAGTAAAACATTAAGCAAATTCCAAAAGGAAATGGTACTAAATTTACTTGTAATTTCAAATGACCTCAATCAGAAAGAGGTTGTCAATTTGATTGTTTTTTTTTTGTTTGATACACCGATAATTTATAAACCAAATTTGAGAAATCTTTATATAGACGTTTTATCAAAATCGGTTCGTTAGTATAGTTTTTAAAAAAAAAATAACTAGTTTTGCGACAATTGTGAGACGGATTTTTTTGTGAAACACAATCTTAAATTATTAGTCGTTAGTATTACTCAATTACGTCGTCATTTCCACCGATTTTGATCATTCTATGTACAATAAAATAATCCATACAATAAATATATTCATTTGACAATAACTGAAGCTATTTATTTAAATGCAAAATCTACCCATAAATTTTGTAAAAATTTATAAAAAATTTATGTCATTCATATCTAATGTTTGAATATTTATTATAAATAAAACAGATTAACCGAGTAAATTGATATTTAATGTAGATACAGATACATTACACAGATATACTAAACATACTTAGTCTAATTCATGAGGGCAAAAATGGTAATTACATTAACGTTATTAAAAAAACTCAAGAAGTGTTGTAAAAAGATTATTAAAAATTATTATTTCTGTCAACATTAATTTATGGATAACAAGATTTGAGATAATTATATAAAACTTTATATAAAATACTACGTTACATAATCCCAAATTTTCATCAGCCAAAATACATAACGTACCTGTAATATGATTACTTGATTACTTATTAAGGAATTGACGCGCTACTTAAAAATGTAACAAGGTTTTTAGATGTCACGCCGAATTTCTAAAAGGTCCAATTTACTTCATTATGATAGGTTAAGATCCCGCTGCAGACTTTTGCAGGTTTTTTTTTAATAAAAATTAGTTTAAATGAGAAATGAACGAAAATATAGAGTTTATTAGGAGAAGCAAAAACCTTTATTCCTTGAAACGGTGTGTTCCTTTTTAGATTTGAGAGATTTTTAATACTTGGGAGCACAAGCAACCAGAAAATCTAACTCTAATTATGAATTCAAATAAGAGTTCAGGATTTTTCATAGATAATTTTTTTTTAGAGAACTTAGAATGGCAAACAAGCTGACGGCCCACCTGATGGAAAGTGGTAACAGTCGCGTATAGACATGAGCAGTATTTTTAAATGAAATAAGTGTATTTAGTTTTACTCGCACACTTCTAATATAGTTTTTATATCTTCATTTTATGATACAAGGATTTGTATTTTCATAGGTTATGGAGAAGTGTGACCTTCAAATACAGGTGATATCACTTACTAGTAGATCACAACAACGACCTTTGTATTGTACTAATCATCATCATCATTAACTGTCCACTGCTGAACATAAGTCTCCTCCTTTAGGAGTTTGCCAGGTAGGTTACCATGCTTGTCAGGCGAATTGGCAATCGCAGTTAAGCTATTTACCATGTGGGTCCAGCATAGAACAGGCCACCTCTTCCATTCCCGTGGATGTCGTAAGAGGTGACTAAGAGAGGGCGAGTACTGGGCAGCAGCGTCCATCTTAAAAGATCACCAAAGCCTAACTGCGATCGCCAAACTTGCCTGTCAAGCGTGGCAACTACTGGCAAGACTCCTCAAGAAGTCTATGTTTAACAGTAGATAATTAACGGCTGGCATGATGATTATGATGATCATTATTATCATATATACCATATCCAACCTGCTTTGCAATTTTTCTATTCACACAACAATTATAAGAATTTTCATTTGTTTTTTTAAGTCAATAAGTAACTCGTACTATTTCTCTATGAAGTAAATCCTTTTTTTTTTTGTCTGTAATATCTAAGTAATCTTCAGTGACGTAAGAGAAACATGTTATGGGCGGCGACACAGTACAAAAAAAGAAAAAAAATCACTCTTATGTAAAATATTGTCCTGTTCAACAATAAATGTAAACATAATATAAGATTAAATCCAATATATATTCTATAATTATTACTGTTAGCGTAATTTCCAGTCAATATTGTATCTTAACTTCCTCTTTAGGGTTTTGAACTTGAATTTATAATCCTCCATTTAGTTAATATAAAAAATATTAATATATTCCGATATTATTAAAAATGTTGAATGATTAAAGATATGTTATAAAGACTTCTTTCACGTGATCAAGAACGAATTTAAAATTTATGTTGAAATTCGATCTCTGACCCTCCGGACTGCTGTCAAGCATTTTTCAACTAAACTATCAATAGATTGCGTAGATTGCGTAAAATTATAACTCTTTACTTACATTATAAATGTAAAGGTGAGCTTGTTTTATTTGCTTTTTACCTTTTATCTCTTTAACGGCTCATCTAATTATCATACTATGTTGACATGGGCTTCTATTTATCCGGACTAATCAATATATCCAATTCACGTGAATGAAGTCGCAGGTAAAAGCTACTAGTACAAATAATCATCAAGAAGTCCGAGTATTCAAAAAGCAATAGTAATAGTCCTAAGATTAAAGTTCAAAATTGCTATAAATTTTATTATAGAAAATATAATTTCTTTTAGTGTTCCGAATTCGTGAAACTAGTATTTCGAAATACAATATGTAGATATCTAAGAAGCCTATTGAAATGTTGCTTGTTAAATAATATCATCAGATCGTGCATACACTGTTATGTCCATGGTACTGCTCACGTCGATCGTCACTTTCGATCAGATGGGCCATCAGCTTGTTTGCCATTCTAAGTTGCATAAAAAAAACCTTTCTGGAGAAGAATCTTGAGTACGCCAACACGAGGCAGTGTCAAACCACTACACTACCAATATCGTGAATGTTCTATTATCATTGATGAACAAACTTACGAAACGTTAGTTAATTAATCTTTTCAGGAAACGCTTTTTTATACAAACTACGCTACGCTTTTTTTTTTACTTTTTATCCGAAGATTATATTTTTTTATCAGCAAAAGAGTTGAATTCTTTCCCGGTGTTTGTTTTTTTTACTCACACAACTAAAGGCCTTTCGTAAACATTATTTACCTATATAGCTTGTTTTCTGTGTGCTTTCTCTGCTTTTACAATTCGTTTAAAAATGATATCTTAGTGCTCACTCTAGAACCTAAGGTTTGAAACAGACAAATAGAATTCATAATCAAATATACCTCTCGATATTAGTCACATAAAGGTATTTATAATCTTTAAATTATAAAGTTTTATAAATACATACTGTAATTATTATATTGACTCATTTATTAAATTTGGATATGACCTAATAGTTATAAATAGTCATTTTATTTACTTTTATATTTTTCACATTTTGTCGTCGCTATATTTACTTAATAGAAATGTCATTGTACATTAGCTAAAGAGCTCTTTAAACCGACAATAAGGATTTTTTAGAATAAGACTGTAAAAATAGAACAGTGATTCCATATTACCAAATTAAGACATTTGAAAGAACCCATCAAGGTTTTTAGACCACATGTTACGCCAAACACTTAAACATACTCATACATACAGTTAAAAACATAATAGACCTTTATTAGGCAATCGAGTAACAGTACATTAATTTGGATACGGGAATAAGCTTTATCCTAAAACAATACCGACCGCGTGGATCATCTAATAGGGCATGCAGACATCGACTAGGGACATATGATATCGATGGAATGCGGGCAACATCGATCGTACCTTGGTCGAGTGTGGTAGGAGTAAATGCGGTCTAGATTCTGCAGCTGGATCAGGCGCATCGCGCGATCTAACAAGTCTGGGTCGACGCGGTCTCCCTCCGCAACATCGCGGCGGTCAATCCTGCCAATATATCGATATCGATAACAAAGTACTGTTCACAACACTACGGACTGGTTTGTTTCGACCAAGATACGATAGATAAAGGGGATGTTTGATTTTTTATTAGACGAATGAAACGTTACATACGTTTCTAAAATTTAGTTTTGAATACGGATTAGGTATTGTTATCTGGCAGAATATTATCATTACACATACTCTGTAATGTACGTTTGTTTGTTACGGTAATAGTAAAAGAGTTTTTTTCTCTTTTGACTTTGATTCTCAGTAGAGTTAAATTTGTTAAAAAATTTCAAAGCTCTGAGTTGAATATCCTAAGATGCATCCTACATACATTGCCTCTCGATTACTTTGTAATAAGACGATCGGTAAAAAAACGAAGATTCGCTGGCGTTATTTAAGTCCACCTTTGAAATACTTCAACCTTTACTCAAGTGGCTTAAAGCTTTTAATGAGGGACTATCTTAATGCAAAAATCCTTGCAGGACTTAAGGTATCACACGTGCGTTGCCTGCTTCCGTAATTTGAAGATATCAAATCAAAGTACCCGTATAATTTCACTGTCATATCTCTTTCATGAAATATGTAATGGCAAACAAGTACCTACCTGATAGCATGTGGTAATTCTCGCCTATAGACATAAACTGCACTATGAAGATAACAGACTATGACGTTTACGGTGTCCCTCATGGGTTGCACTTCCTAAAAACTATGACGTTACGTCTTCGTACCCTGTAATTTTATTGCCATATCCCATCCTTTAAACTGAAATACAGAAATTCAAGCATAAAATCGAACAAAACAAAAATATCCATGCAGACGACATTTGTGTAACGTCTATTGGTATATATAGTCATTAGCCTATCAGCCGTTTCCTGTCCACTCCTGAACATAGACCTCCCCTAAGTTTATAGAATTGGAGGGTTTTAAAAATAATTGCCATGTTTGACAAGCGGGTTGGTAACTTCAGTTAGTTTTTAATGATATTTTACGAGGGACGTCACTGCCTATCCCTCAGTGATTAAGTTCCCTTAGTCGCCACTTATAATAAAAAAAAGGAAGGATGGCCCATTCTATGCCGGAACCACACAACAAGAGGTTTTGTTGGTAATTATTGAATTTAGGTAATTAAACCTTTCAAGGATTGGCAGCTTCCATTGAATATATTTAAAATTTTCAACGCTATCCAATTAGCTAATGTTCTAATTCATCACTCACTCATTTATTAATTCAATCACTTCACAAATTATTGGTTTTCGATGAAACTTCCTTTAGTATATCTTTTGTTGTACAATTTCTCAAAGTTTTATTAACTTACACATTAATCGAATCAATTACAATTAGTCACATTAGAAGGAATGAGAAAAATAAAAAATAATGTTAAAAAAAGAGATAAGCGCCTGCGCTGGTACGGGCGTGCGATGACCACGTGACTAAAAAAAAATGGAAGAAGGAAAGAGGTACAGTAGTCAAACACCAATGACCTATTGCAAACAATAAAAAAACGACATAAAATGTGCAAACGCGAGCGAACAGAGAACACATAACCGTACGCTGGGACGCAGAACTATAAGGAGGGCAGACCCCAAATAAATTGGAATAACAGCCAGAAGAAGGAAGAAGAAAACGTTAAAACCTTAATCTTAATTATAATTAACATGGAATCATCATAGAAATAAACAATTTCGATATAAAAAAAAACTTGTAATTCGACTCACAATTAGAAATAATAATAATCATTATTAAAACTAATAATAAATAGTGTTGATAATAATAATATTGGAAAACTACAATCAAATAAACTCTGTAGAAGTCTTATAAAATAACTGTTTTCTTAAATATTTGACAAAATAAAATCATCCTATATTAATTGTGCTGTTACTGAGAAAAGAGTCTGGCCGAATCAATCAAGTAAATTATAAAATACTACGAATTTAACTTGCGTTGCCTAAACTCGATTTTACGCACTAAAACAAAAAAAAAACCTATCGAGCTGTCGAACGATGTTTAAAGTATTGACCGACTTCTAAGGTGAAGAAGTTTTTCTACCAAGTTTTTTAAGCGACTTAGAACAGCCTCATCAGCTAAAAATAGATAATGGCAACCATCACCTATATATAATAAAAGCACTGTGGACAACTCTGAATATACTGACGTACCCTATATCACCCTGATAAGAACGTGATCTATAAAGAAGAAAGACATGTAGTGGCAATATCATTTTAATCAAATTCTTTTGTGTATATATATATATATATATATATATATATATATATATATATATATATATATATATATATATATATATACAATTTAGAATGGCAAACAAGCTGACGGCCCACCTGATGGAAAGTGGTAACCGTCGCCTATAGACATGAGCAGTACCGTGGACATAACAGAGTATACTGTTTCGTCCATGATACCCCCCATGCGTTGACATTCCTAAGAACTCAGGTGTTATTCCTCAGTACCCAGTAAATTCACCTATATATATATATATATATATACTATATATATATATATATATATATATATATATATATATATATATATATATATATATATATATATATATATATATATATATAGCCACAAACTAACCGCTCACCAGATGAATTGAAAACCTTTTTAAATAGACTATCAAGACTTAATGCGATGAAAAATTAATTAATTTAATTTTATAAAAAAGTACCTACATACCTGCTTCTCTATTGATGACGTTTGACGAAACACACCACAATGTGGTCACGTGAGGACAGAAGTTAGCGGCGAAGCGAGTGTATTTAAAATATATGTTAACAAGGCGAAAATTTAAAAGTAACTATTGACAACTGTTGCCTAAGAACGACACTACGTATATCAGAAAATATAGACATTAAAGATAGGTTAAAAGGAAATATCTAAAGCCATAAAGCTATATTAAAAAAATACAGAATACGCCATGACACTTCACAAGCTCATTGTATTATTCTTGTATATATGTAATGAGATACATGCAAGTAATAATAAATAATTTGCATCTTACAAACGACTTTAGCAAGTGAATTGTAATATTAGATACTTTTACAAAACTTTATTTTCATTACAATACTAGTACCTTAATGTTATGAAAGAAACGGATTAGTAGTAATGGGATCTAACTGCCCCATTGCTAACAATACATCTTGTCAGGTCAACTTCTCGCGGAAACCATCGTGTTAATTTACCAGAGGGAGACTTTGTACAAAAGTCGATTGCTTGGGTACCTCTGTCCCATTCGTGTTTCAACCGTGAAGCAGTTGTGTACAGGGTACAGAGGAATAACACCTGAGTCCTCAGGAATGGCAACGTATGGGAGGTATCATGGGCGAAACAGTATACTCTGTTATGTCCATGGTACTGCTCATGTCTATGGACGGCGGTTATCACTTTCCATTAGGTGGACCGTCAGCTTGTTTGCCATTCTAAGTTGTATAAAAAAAAATTGTGGAATTCATCAATATGGGCTAACTGACCTGGTTTGATCCTTACCTATCATCGCTCACTGGTGCCCAACCAGCATATACTGATAGTGCAAACGGGGTTACAATTTCATTATCATCCATTAAAGTATCTGAATGTTCTACACTTTATTATGAGAAACCAAGTTGCTAATTCAGAAAACATTACTTAATTAATCAAACCAAGAATCAAACCCTGTACTACAATCACGTAAGAAGACTACCTACCAACCTACCTACTATATTACGTACCCTACCAGTACATCATGGAAATTATCAAAATAAGATAGAATTTGTTTATTATTATTTATTTAATAACAAACATTCTTAATATAATTAGTTGTCAGTAAATGGTAATGGTAAACTTAGAGAACAAACAACAAAAACTATTTCATCAAATAGACAATAACAAGGGCATTGTTATTGGTTATTTGTTGATTGGTTATTATGTGCCAGTCACATAATGATAAAAAAAACTACTTTAATTTTTAATGTTTATTATTATACACAGGGCATCAAACCGGGAAAAAAAAATCAAGAAATGCAGTAAACAATAACGACTTTTCCGGTGCAAGGAGGCCCTGATGGTCTATAGACTTTTCCAAGGAGAAAAAATAGATGGAACTGTTTTTCCTCCATTTCTAAGTATGTTAAAATCAATATTAACAAACATAACTATTCATATTTTTTTTATGGATGAAAACGGTATGGTAACTCCACCTGCGCTAACAGGATACGCTGGCGGAGCACCAGTGAAGGGTGATAGATGAGAACGAAAACAGGCCAGTTAGCCCATCATGATGAATTCATCAGGAATTAACCATGATAGTTTCCAGAAAGAACCGCGAGGAGGTCGACCTGGTTGGGTATATTGCTAACAATGGGATTCTCAGTCTCCATTACTAACAACACAACTTTTCACACTTGCATGTTTTTAGCTTCACTCTCCAAGCGTAGCCTTGCTATGTCAATAACACCCTTAAATTGCATAAAGTCGATATTGCAATGTAATCTATATATAAACCAGATAGCAGTACACGAGATAAATGGTATCACGACTTTAACAAGCGACAATAACGTTAACACTCCAATGTGTCAGGTAATTAGCTGAACACTCTAGCAACTCATTAACAAGTGCACGGAACCGTTAATATCAATATTTGAATATTAGTTTTGGATATATAGTGTTGACATTTATCCACTTGTGATAACGTGATATGTGAATAACTATACCTGGTTATTGTTTAAATTTATATACGCTGATTGCGATCATCGTCATCAGGCGCATGTTTTACTGAATTTCCTGTATACCCCTGATTTATGTTGACGACATTTCATTTAGAGAATAGGTAACAAAGGTAACAAGTATATATTGCTCCGGAAAAAGCTACTTCGAACGTAAACAGGGCTCCGATATATTTCGTAAATAATCTATATTGTCAACCGACTACAAATAAGGAAGGCTCGATTAGGTTGTATTTTTTTTTTGTATTTTTTACCTCGTAACCGTGTTAGTTATAAACC